ATTTTCACACATGTTTATCAATATAGAGTTTTATTAGTGCTTCACTATATAAACTCTTATATAATTAAGATTTGATATTGCTAACGGAGTTGAATTAACTTTTGCAATTATCACAAGTTATTGATGCTAAGTTTTAGGATCAATATTTGATGAGTATTTTTCCACTTGTCCAAGCCCAAATCTGCTAAACATTTAATCTATATACAAATGAGATAACAATGGTATTATAATTTTTATCATCATTCATTTGCGGAGTACAAAATGAATAACTTTATGTTAATCTATTTCCCCAATTTTATAGTATATGGTTTGTTTAAGAAACTCCTTGCTCAATAGAAGGGACAATATCAAATATTGCAATAAATTGGACTGGAAGTTTATAAAGTTTGGCATAGGTCAATCCTATAAAAATTATGTATGTGCAAGTATAAATTGATGCCACCTACAGATCCACTAATGCCTTTTCTTAATGTCCCTTCAAATTCTAGCCTATCAACTAAAAAACTTTGATTGCCTTCAATTCTTTTGAGAGGAAAGAATGATGTGAAGTCCAAATATATGATTATAATATTATATACTAATATTAATAACCATACACTAAATATAAGCTAGGGTTTTTGGATATGGAAATTTAGATATTCCATTTCTACAAATATATATTTTTATTATAATTAATATTTAATTTTACTTGGGTTCTAACTACAAATAATTATTATCTTTCCCATAAAATGCTTGAATATTCTTAAATATTGGTGGTTATTGATTTATAATTGAAAAATGAATTATTTTTAGAATTGCCAGTGCATTCAACTCATAAGATTGAAAATATTGAGAAATGGCACTGGTTCTGATGTCATATCACAGCATCTGAGAAAGTGAGTTGCTTTATCTTGCTGCTGTTCTTGGACTTTGAGGAAACTTTAGGCGTGGGCGGGAGCTCCACGTAATCCTTGGTGAGGTCGATTTCCTCCAGGAAATCCTGGACCATGGACAGTGTGTCGGCCTCGGAGGACGAGGCCGACGCTGTAGACGGCGGCGAAATCCTGTAGTTGTTTAGCTTCTGGCAGTAGTCGAAGAGGAAGCTGCTCTTTGGGGAATTGCTGTCGATGTTCTCGTTCTCGTTCTCGCTGTGCTCATCGATGATCTCGTCGGGTTGATTGTTAGCTGGAAGTCCTGGGCAAGACGTAGAAAAGAAGTAGAATGTGGGAAGCGAGCCACAGAGAGACTAGTAGAGTTTATGCATTACGTGCTTACTTGTTCATGGCAGGGCTGAGTTCTCAGCACCTGGAAAACGAAAGTTTTGTTGATCCGGCTTCAAAAATCCATTGATCGTATTGGCATCCACCTGGAGAAAAAGAAAGCTAAAGATATTTAGAACGAAGAACCAAACCATACGAAAGAAAAGAATCACAGCATCGATGGATCAACCTCGGCAAGAGTTTTGACGATCGTTTGGCACTTCTCGATCTTGGTCTCGGTCTCCTCCTTGCCACCGAAGAGAATGTCCCCCACCGCAGCCACGGCCGCGACGACTTTCATGGCCTGGACGTCATCCTCGGCGCTCTTGACGATCGCTTCCAGCGCCGCCGCCGCGGCCTTGGGCAGAATATCATCCACACCCTGGCCGCAGCAATCCTTCCCTGTCACGTCCAGCGCTGCCAGATCCGGGGACTTCGACGGCGACACAATCGTCTCGGAACTCCCATCCTCCTCCAGATCGCCGTGATGATCCTCTTTCTCCCTCTCGGCTTTCAGCATTCCCTGATTCCCCTCATCCTCCTCCTCCTCCTCGTCGCTCTGGCCCCGCGCTTCCTCCTCCTCTTCCTGCCGCGGCGGGCTAGATTGCCGCTCCGGGGAGCACGTCCTGACGATCAAGCTCACCGCCTTGGAAGCCCTAGCCGCGGCGGACGAATCGTCCCCGGGGTCGCAGTCGAAATCGTCGCCGCCATTACCGCGGAGATCCGAGCACTCGCCGTCCACTGCCGCAATCGCGCCCTTCTTCCTGTCACCGATCGGGGATGGATCTATGGCGGCGGACTGCGCGCTTTCTTTCGATGCTCCACAGCCCATTTCTTCCCCCTCATTTGTGTTCTAGGGTTTTTGCAAAGCAACCGTCTTTAAGATGAAAAGCCATCAAACGAATATACCTTCGGCCGCTTTCTGGGTATATTCCGCTAAACTATAAGGGCAAAATGATAGCAGAATCTTCCACAGATGAAAGGGAATCTAGGGTTCTTCGGGCTCTTCGATGCGATGGAAGAGGACGGTGCAAGAGATCGCGAGCCTGCTCCAGAGCGGGCGCCCCTGGCCGCAGCTGGAGTCTGATCTCGTCCCCTACGCCTGCTACGAGACGACGCCATCGAACGTCGTCGGGAGCGTCGTGCGGCGGCTCCGCGATCCCGATGTGGCGCTCGCATTCTTCCGTTGGGCCGCCGATACGATCCCCAGGTTCTTCCACACCAGATTCTCCTCCGGCTGCCTCATCTATCTCCTCACGCGATCGGGTAGGGCTCGAGAGGCGCGCCAGATTCTCGAGTCGTGCCCCAGCGATGCATTCTCCCACAACATGGTCATCTCTTGCTACTGCAAGGCCGGGGATCTCGTCGCGGCGCTGGAAATCGTGGCAAGAATGGTGGATTCCTCGTTCCAGCCCGACGAGTACTCCCATCTCCCGATAATCTCCGCGCTGTGCAAGGCCGGGGACGTAAGCGCCGCGGTGGGATACTTTCGACTGTGGGACTCGCCGCTCATCGCCGCGATCTACACAGTGCTCGTCTCCTCCAAGTGCAAGCATGGCATGGCCGACGATGGCTACGAGCTTGCCATGGAGATGATCGCTCGGGGCTGCTCGCTCGACTTTGACACCTCCAATGCCGTCGTCCAGGCGCTCTGTGAGGCCGGAAGATCCGGCACTGCGCAAGAGTTTGTGAGGCTGCTGGCCCGGCGATCCGGCTGCGCTGCTCCGGCTCTCTCGATCTTTAGCTCCTCGCTGGTGAAGTGCTACTCGCGGCAGGAGAGGTTTGCCGACGCTCGAAAGTGGCTGAGGGTGATGAGAGTCGAGGGTGTCCAGCCGACGGTGGTCATGTACACGGTGCTTGTGGACGCTCTTTGTCGAGCTGGGCGATCGAGCGAAGCCAGCGACGTTGTCGACGAGATGGATCGAACAGGTTGCCCGCCAAACTCTGTGACTTTCAACGCGCTTGTTAACGGGTTTTCTAAGCAGGGAAGGCCGGGTGACTGCGAGAGGCTTCTGGAAACGATGGCTGCCAGGGGGATCCAGCCTAACGTTGTGAGCTACAACGGTTTGCTCGAGGGACTTTGCAAGCTAGAAAGGTGGCACGAAGCCGAAGAGCTAGTCCGAGATATGATCTCCAGGGGCGGGAGGAGTACTCCGGATCTGGTAACGTATAGCACTCTTCTATCCGGGTACTGTAAGGCAGGGAAGGTGGAAGAAAGCCGGGAACTCCTCAAGGAGGTGATCTCGAGAGGCCTCCGGCCGGATGCCTTGATGTACACTAAGGTTATGGCGTCGCTGTGCAAGTCCGCGAGGCTTGGAGAGGCGCTGGAGCTACTAGAGGAGATGATCCGCGCAGGTTGCTGTCCGACTCTCATTACTTTCAACACACTGATCAGCGGTTGCTGCAGGGAAAAGAACCTGGAGATGGCTGATTCTCTGCTCCAAACGATGGCCGCGAGCGGTGTTAAGGCCGATGTTGTGACTTACAACACGCTCATGGACGGGCTATGCAAAGCCGGGAGGTTCTCCGAGGCTCAGGAGCTACTGCACACGATGAGCAAGACGGCGAATCTCTTCACGTACACGTCCGTCATCCATGGCTTCTCCAAGTTCGGAAGGCTTCAAGAGGCCGAGCAGCTGCTCGAGCGCATGAAGGCCTCGGGCTGTGCTCCGGACGTGGTTGCCTACAGCAGTTTTGTTTACGGCCTTTGCAAGTCCGGCAAGGTCCTGAACGCTCATCAGGTTCTAGAGCAGATGCGAGACAGCGACCACGACCCCAACGTAGTGACTTACAACACCATCCTCGACGGGCTGTGCAAGTCTGGGAAGATCGACACTGCGCTGGAGATGATGGAACAGATGGCTTCCAGCGACGGGTGTGGGCTCAACGTAGTGGGATACAGCACGGTGGTGGACGGGCTTTGCAAGCTGGGAAGAACGCAGGAGGCCAGGAGCGTGATGGAAGCCATGGCTAGAGCAGGGTGCCGCCCCGACGTGGTGACTTACAGCAGCCTGGTGAACGGGCTGTGCAAGGCGGGGAAGATCGAGGAGGCCGTGGAGGCTGTCCGGGAGATGGCGATGGAGGGATGCAAGCCAAACGCGGTGACTTACTGCTCGCTGGTTCACGGGCTTTGTAGCTGCGGGCGGCTCGCCGAGGCCGAGAGGATGGTGGAGGAGATGAGCAGCGGCGGCGGCGGTGGAGATCACTGTCCGCCGAGCGTCTCGACTTACAACGCGCTCATCGGTGGGCTGTGCAAGGCGGGGCGCATCGATGATGCTCTCAAGTTCTTCCAGAGGATGAGGAGCCAAGGCTGTGATCCGGATGGCGTGAGCTACAGCACCATCGTGGAGGGTCTCGCGAGATCAGGGAGAGCGCTCCAAGCTTGAGCGAGGTGCGATAGAGAACTCACATTTTAAAAACCCAACCTTTAGAAGATTTTCAATGAATTCTCTGATATTTAGGGCTTCAACCTTTTAAAGATCTTAAAATTCGCGCCAGACAGGGATCGAACCTGCGACTTTCTGCTCCGGAAACAGACGCTCTGTCCACTGAGCTACAAGCGCTTTACATTTAATCACGATCTAAACAACGAAGTTAGGGCTTTTGCCAATAGTAAGGGATTGACACGTGTCAATAGTGCCGTTGACTGTGCCGGCTCTGGAGAATATTCCGGGGCTATCACCAAGCGCGAAAAGGACGTTGCTGCGTTTTTGCCCACAAGTTTTGAAAAACTTCTCCCATTCTTCCAATCTACTACAGTGGAGTAAGGTGGGGCGAGAATAAAAGAAGAAAGAAAATGTGGCGGTCTCCCACTTCTACTTGTTCGTCTACGACGGTGGAATCCCCGGCTGCGGCAGCGCCTGGATCGCGATTAAAAAATTGGGCTCTCGCCGGAGCTTGGCAGATCGTGAACAAGTCGCGCCCATCTCCTCATCCACGATTAGCAGTTTCCATAACCCTCTTTGCTACTACTACTTGAGAGAGAGAGAGAGAGAGTGAGAGGAGAGTGGAAGAGATCTTGCAATCTATCGATCGATCGAGTTTCTCTCTGGAAGCTAGAATTGGGCGGCGATGGACAAGGCGGAGCTCTTCAATCGGCAGATGTGGGAGGTTTTTGGCGAGCGTGGGCGGTTGGCGGAGCCGCTGCTGTGGCTGGCGTCCATAGCTGTGGGGATCGTCTTTTGCAAATCTGTAAGCTTTTTCTTCTTGTTTTCTCTGTTTGTTCCTTTCATCGTGGTGACGAGCAGAGCTTCAAAAATGTAAGAACTTGGATAGGTGTACGACAACATGGAATCCAGCTTCTCGCAGATCAAGGTGTACCGAGCCCTCGCGAGGCGGCAGCAAATCGAGTGGAGCAACAGGTTTGTTCGTGATCGCCACTTACATTCAAGTTTTGATCCCGAGTTCTTGGTTCACCAATTTTGTCACCAACTTTTTTAGAGGATTTTCAACCGCGCACGCGATTGTTGTGTCCACCATCGCCGCTTACCTTCTTGTGTACAGCGATTTCTTCTCCGACGCTGCCCCGTACGGGCCCGTGGTCTTCCGTAGCACCATCTTCTCTCAGGCTGTTCTTGGTGTAAGTTGGATCAAAGGCTTCCATAACTTTGCGCGAGCGTTTGAAACTCCTCGATCTTGCAATGCAGTTCTCGATCGGCTACTTCATCGCGGATCTCTCGATGATAATTTGGTGCTATCCGGATCTTGGAGGATGGGTTTACGTAAGCTTCTTTTCTTCCAAATCTTTCCAGCGTTTCAATATTTTATCTTTGTTTGTGTCCATATAAACACAGATACTCCATCACGGCCTTTCTATCGCCTCGCTAGCTCTGGCTCTTCACAGTGGGTACGCGCACATCTATCTTTACTTGGTCCTCTTCTCGGAATTCACTACTCCGTTCGTCAACTTGAGATGGTAAGCGATCACCTCGATCGATCGATCCTCCTCCCACCCATCACATCGCGAATCAAACTTTGTGTTTTATCGCAATGGTTGCAAAAGGTACTTGAGCACTGCTGGCCAAAGTGGATCAAACGCCTACCTCCTCAATGGGATCTTACTTTTCCTGACATGGCTGGTACACTACTACGATCATCCTCCACCACCAAAGATCTTGACTCCTTTTGCGATTTTCTCTTTGTGTTGTTCTAGATCTTTCGAGTGCTGCTCTTTGTCTACTTCTTCACTCATATTTACCTCCATTTTGATCAGGTAAGCGTTTTGGTAATTGTTGTTTTACTCGTTATCTTGACAGGTGAGACAAATGCACGATGCTGGATTTTATTTCTTGTTTATCGCGCCGCCTCTGCTGGCGTTGATGAACCTGGTATGGTTTCGAAAGATTTCACTGGGTGTTGTCAAGGCTTTCAAGAAGAAACAAAAGTAAATATGATAGTGTGAACAGCCCTTTGAATTAACCTAGCAGTGTCCATTTGAATCATTGTTCTTTTGGGGCATTTGTAAGACTATGATTGAATAGGGACAAAAGTCATCCAAAATGTGATTTGTAATCAGGCTAAACACCTTGGGAAATAATGATTAGTTCTTTTTAAAGCTGCTTTTGACTAGTTTTATAAGAACTTTGACTGCATCGAAGCCAGAGCTGCATTTTTCTTTTTTGCCTTTCTTGTTAAAATCCAGAAAAATCAGGAGAAACAGAGGTTTGAAAAGAAGGCAAAAACCTGCTCTGTTTCAAAGCCTTAAAGTTTTGATCTCTCCACCTCCAGCAGCAGCAGAAGCACCAATCCATCCATCTATCCATCCACTCAGAGTCTCCAGGAGCCTTTAAAGTTGCAACAGACATGAGCCCTTTTTTTTGGAAGTGGCTGCTTCTGGTACCCCACCAGCAAACAGGTTAAACACTTTGCCTCCTCCATTGCTCAAGAAGAAGCACATTTGTACCTTTCCCCTTTGGGAAATTGGTCTGGCTCATCAGAACATCAACCTCAGACATTACCATATCTGTCCATGTACCAGCACCATTTTAATGCTTAGAATACTATTATTTGATTCCCAAAAGGTAATCCAATTGTTTTGGACCATGTTTCTTTCAGTAAAAAAATACGAACATATTTGCCATACTATGGCAAAATCCAGCTCATGTACAAAACCCCACTGAGATCCTACATTCTGGACAAAAATGTAGAGTGGGATTTGTTTGTAAGTTTTCAAGTTGGGGGTGTGCAGTAGCGGCCTGCCTCCAGTACACCCCACCCCATAAGACATTAAACCGGCAGCGTACCCGGTACTATCTAAGACAGCTTTTGACTGGTAGAGGTAGAGAGAATGATGCCAATGGTATCATAGGGAATCGAATCTCGTAGATCTGCTGCTTAAGATTCTTCTTACCTAGCAGGCTAAAGCCTGGCCGCCCGTCAGTCAAGATGACAGAGATCCGTGCGGACTGTCACCGTTAGGGAGACAGAAGCATATGCCGGCAAGATGCTCGGTTCAAACAGGCTGACCCCGGCATATTCTCGCAAACGCTTGGATTTAGAATATAGAGGCTGCCATTTCCTGAATGATTGAGGGATCCGCTACATGATTGGAATGACCTCACTCAATGATCGATGGGCTCTCTTTGTATTGTCTTGACTTAGTATTTTGTAATGTATTTTCTCTAGTCCGATATTTTGAATTCTATTTTCTCGCCCTCTTTCCAACAATAAAGAAAAGAGCCCATGAAATTCTGCTGCCGACGATATAAATGTCTCGCTGGAAACTGGAAACGCTTAGATAACACTCCAAGCAAAACTATGAAGTTTCCAAGAAAAATAGAAGAGCGTTTTGTTTGGTTTTCCAATGCCGTCCGACGTGGCGGTGACGAAACACTGACGTGGCCGGTGACGTCGTGGTGTCCGTACGCAGTGGCGGGAGCGTTTCTGTGGGCCATGGCGCTTCTCCAGTGGCGTGGCCAGGGCCGCCGTACCCGGCCGGCGTCTATGCCACTCAATCAACAAAAAAATGTGCTGTGAAACGGGCGGGCTGGTCTACATTTTTAATCGTATTTTCTCTGATTTTTTATACAAATTCCATGACACTGCCTGATGTTGAGACCCTTTGAAAAGCATCACACTTGAGCTAATTGCCAGATACGAAATTTCAGCATACAAGAAGTATACATATACCTGAGTTTATGGATCGTGCAATTCGATCGGACCTACAATGATGATCCACCCGTTGTTGGAAGATATCTTTCTCATCAAGAACGAGCGAGAAAAATTGCCCCACATATTTGGAAACATTCAAACTTCAACTCTCTCCGGGTTCCAGTGTTCCTTTTTTTTTACGTGATTTTGGTCGGTCCGTCGAGGCACGATCTTATAGACCGTACACACAAATATTATCTTGGAAAATTTGCAAATTTTTCTGGCGAGTTCGCTGGATTTGTTTAATATTTTTTGCGCTTTTTTTTTATAAGTTTTTTAGCGCGCACCGATTGATGCAAAGGAAGATATAATGCGTCTGACAGACCCACGGACCCTGAAGGCCGGGACCTGACAATGTGGACGCGTGGCGCCACCGCAGTGGCGGGAAGCGGCCGTTGACATGTGAGCACGAGTACATGGCCGAATCTCCACCGTCGGTTGCCTCGACGCTCCTAGATGTAGTTATCAGTGTGAGTTGTTCACACTCGCTCGCTCGCTTTTCTGTGTTGGCTCGATTTGGTTTCTACTTTTTTCGGTCGCGAGGAAGACGAAGAAGAAAAGAAATAACCCCTGAGGCGCGGCGGCGGTGTTTCTCCTCCTCAATCGATCGATCGATCGACCGAGCGAGTGAGAGTTTTGTTCTTCTTTCTCGCGAGAGTTGTTCTTCGTCCTCTATCTTTTGTCTTTGTGACGAGCGATCTTCGGTTCGTTTTGTTAGCTACTGGCGAGCGACTGAAGCGTTCTGGTCGAGGCGCTGCTAGCTTCGTTGGTTCCGTCCGCGAATCTGGGATAGAGAAGCTCCAAAAAGATGATAAGCCGGCTTCGTGAGGCGCTCCAAAGGATGGCCTTTGTTTGTTTGCATGCACAAGCGCTCATCTTGTTCCGGCTCTAAACGCTTCAATGCCGTGCCATCTGTAGGAGCGGGAGCCAAGCGTGAGAGCTTTGCCGCTTGTCCGTACCTAGGGGCGCATCGCATCGCCTGTGCAGTCGAGAACGCAATTGTCTTTGGCTACTCGGGATTTATATTATCCTCCTCTCCTCCAATCTTCTCCTTGCTCGCTCCTGCGTTCCCTGCAAGCAAAGCAAAAGAGTTACTCCACCATGGACTTGTTGTCCTTGGCTCAGATGCAGCAAAGGCCTGAGGATCCATATTTACCTCCAGGCTTCCGGTTTCATCCCACGGACGAAGAGCTGGTGTACTACCTGACCAGGAAAGTTCTCTTCAGTAGCTTTAGAATCAGTGCAATTGCCGAAGTTGACCTCAACAAGTGCGAGCCTTGGGATCTGCCGTGTAAGTTGCCCGACAACCTGTGAAGCAATCAGTTAGAGATGTCCACTGAAAAATGGTTTTTTTGTCTACCTTTGGTCTCTCATTGTGCAGCCAAAGCGAGCATGGGAGAGAAGGAATGGTACTTCTACACTCTAAGAGACCGGAAGTATCCGACTGGAATGAGGACCAACAGGGCCACTGAAGCTGGATACTGGAAGGCAACCGGGAAGGACCGAAACATAAACAGCTCTCGGACGTCCTGTCTGGTGGGTATGAAGAAAACTCTCGTCTTCTACAGGGGAAGAGCTCCAAAGGGGCTCAAGAGCAACTGGATCATGCACGAATACCGCCTGGAAGGGGAAGCAAGTCAGTTTAATCGAAACGCGAGGCTGCCTAAGGTGAGTCTCAAACTACCTCTCAGTTGGAAAAAGTGATCCATTCTCTCCAGTCTTTCTCCTCGTGTTCCCTGTTTCTTTCTCCGGTCGGAATCCAATGACCAAAGCTGCTTTTCTTCAACTGCTCACAGGATTCCGAATGGGTGATATGTCGCGTTTTCCAGAAGTTCCCCGGCAGCAAAAAGGCGCTGAGGGAATCCAGCAACCTCGCCAGGGACCCGCACTATGTGATAGGGGCTCAGCAAGTTCACACCTCACTGCCTCCCCTGCGAGACGACTCCCCTCACGTTACAGTCACCGAAGAAGCTGTTGCTGATAGTAGCGAGACGAGCCAGAACGACCAGGTCCCAAGCTTCTCTGACACTTCCTTCCTCAAGGAGCAAAGGCACAACGCCTGGCAGCCCCGAGTACAAGTCGCGGCTGCCGATACTAATCCAGACACAATGCTGCACCACCCCTCTATAGCAGCAGCAGCAGCAGCAGCAGCACCGCCTGACATTAGCGAATTAAAGCTTCCAACTTGTTTCGCGGCTCAAGCCAACCTTGGCAGCTTACCAGCACTCGAATCGTACACCTTCACCACCACCGGTAACTTCTCCAAGCCAAGGCCCGACTTCTCAACGTTTCACCACCTCCAAAACCAGCCCAGCCAACCTCTCGTCCCGGACATTAACTCGCTCAAGGCTCTCGACCAGTTTTCACGGTCGCTGAGCGGTCCATACTCGGTGGCCAAAGCTGGCATACGGGCGTGCAAGGTGGAGCCCAAGTCCGCACCGCCGATGCATCAACCCGTGTACCAGCCCATGGACGTAAACACCGCCGGATGGTTGAACGAGAGTCACCCTCACTACCTTGCTCTGTGCACCACCACTCTTCAGCAAAACTTCCCCTCCGGAGCTTCGTTCTCTCTCACGGATTCCGCTGGCACCGACGAAGTCCCACCGAATCTCTACCGAGCGGTTGCTCCGTCGTCTTCGTCGGCGGAAATGGACACGCTGTGGAGTTACTGACAGAGGCCTCTTGTCGACTTGAGATTCGGACGGTAACAAACAACGCTCGCGTCGACCAGCGGATGTCGAGAGCAGCGACGACGATTCACAACCGACTGAAGTTCCAGGCTCCAACTGGACCGAATGGATCCCTGTTATGTAAGTACCTATCACCGCATCGAATTTCCCGTTGTGAGTTCTGGACCGCAGAGGCTTGCTCAAGGATAAAAACAAGAAAAAAAACAGTCCAAAGCACCTGGATTTGCAGCAGCAACAAAACCGCTGTGTGTACCATTGAGTGTATTTTTCATGTTTTGAGAGAAACCAACTTCTTTCCTAGTAATCTGCAAAACAAACTCCAACCATTATTATATAGAGTACCAGCACTCCAAGAGTCCGTTCTCCTGTAAAAACCCCACCTAGACAAACTAAAAGTCCCTTCTTCGGAAAATCTCACTTGGATCCAAGACTTTACAGGCAGATATGAGTGACATCAACATGCCCAAGTAGCAGCAGGAACGAATCTGTGCTTAGATCTTGGGCAATCAAAGAGGGAAAGAAGAAGAGGAAGAAAAAATAAAATTCCACCGATGTAAGCAGTCAAAGGCTTAAATCACACCACACACCGTGATATGCATGACAACTTATATATCCTACCAGGAAGAAGAAAGCACGCAAACGAATTCCACGGTACAGCCACAGCGGTAGCGGTCGGTTCCTTTCAACCAGGACGATAAACACACGCGAATAATCTACTTAATGCCAAGCGACCACTAAAAAAGAATGCTATGAGACTCCCTCATTCCAGCAAAGCTAGAGCGTTTCCTCGATTCAAATCAAGCGCTGCTTCGATTGAATCAAGGCGCCATAGCTCGATCGAGCCGAGGAACACGACGCGCCTAGGGATTTCTTACCTGATCGATCGCAAAGACGCCGCTCGCCATCGCCAAGAGCCAAACTCTAGGGCCGCAGAAGAAGAACACTTATAAACCCCTACATTCCACGTGTCTTCGTTAGGTTTAAAAGTGGCGATGGCGCCTCGCCGCCCAGCCCTAGACCGCGCCGGTGGAATGCGCCAATCGGTAAGCTATGGGGTCGGGATTGATCGTCTAGCTCGCATTCTCGAGTAATTCCTGGATTCTATTGCGTTCTTGAGCTCCATCGCACGATCTAGCGTACTTTGGATCGCATGGCCTGGATTTTTGTGTATAACTCTAGAGAAAGAGAGAGAGAGAGAGAGAGAGAGAAAGGAGCTGCTAATAATCTGTCCTGTTCTAGCTGGGACGCCTCTTGTTTTTATGCTGGATGACTCGCCGCTGATTCAATCGCCTTCTCTTTCTTCAGGTTGTGGGCCAAACTTTCTTTTCTCTCGTCGCTCGCTTTGATTCGATGCGCTTGTGACGAGTCATGGTAAGCTCTTTAAGGTCTCTCCATTGGTTTGTACTTTTCTGGAGCTATAGGTACATGTCTATGTCAATCAGGAAAAGAGAGGAACAGCTGCACAGTGGTGCACACTGTGAGTGATCTATCTTGCTGGTGAATCAACAAGCAAGGCAAACATGTACAGGCAAGCTCCATCGATCTATCTATCCATCGATATATTCTGTTTGTTGTTACAGTCTGATATTGACATCGATTTTCAGTATGCTTGCTATATCTTTGAACAGAAATTTCAAGGCCACCACCATTGCAACCGGCAAGAAACTCTCTCCGCTATATGAGAACAACTTTACTCGATCGTCAGTAGCGTCGTCGGGCTACGTAATGCATCACGTCGAGAAGAACTGGAACGAGTTCGTGTAGTCCACAAAGCCTCCAGGGTATTGAGCTGCTGGTGCCGAGGATGGTGACGAGAATTGAGGTTGCTGCTGAGGAGCACCTTGTTTCTCGTGGAAGAAGTTATGTGCTCTTGTGACCGGGAGCTGCAATGTTTGCTCCTGCTGTTGCTGCTGGTGGTGGTGGTGGTGGTGCTGCTGCTGCTGGTGCTGCTGCTGTTGCTGCTGCTGGTGCAATCCATTGGCTCCATTGATGTATTGCTGCAAGAACAGCGACGGCTCCTCCCTCGCTAGCTGATTCATCATGGCCGAAGTGGTGAGCATTCTCTCCTTGTTTGTCCATTCGTATTGACCAATTGAATTGCCGCCAGACCGGATGGTGTCCCCTGCCAGAAATCCTTGTACGAACGAGTCGTTCAAGGAGCCGAGCCTCGGCAGCGTCGAGATCCTTGAGCTGTCAAGGTCGGGCAACGAGGCAAGCACGTCTTCTGGCGGTGCTGCCGTTTGACTCGCAACCGCAGCTGGCCGCTTGTTGTCCGTCTTGGAAGGCGTTCTGTGGAGCTTTGTCTTCTTTCTGTAGATCCGGCACAGCACCCAGTCGTCCAGCTGCAACGAAAGAAGAACAGCTTGCCAAAGTAAGCCATCGGTTTTTAATACCACTCACGAGCTCTCGCTCTTTCTTTTTTTTTTTTTTTTGTTTTTTTTGTTTTTTTCCCCAATATGCAGGACTGGATGCAACTACTTGGAGGAATTGAAACTTACTCTGGAGCCCTTCCGGCGAGGCTTGTGGGGATTGTCGACTAGACGGTACTCGTGCATAATCCAGTTGGTCTTCGCCCCCCTCGGCGCTCTGCCTTTGTAGAAGACGAGGGCCTTTTTCACGCCAACTTTGCGGCCGTCAGTGGAGCTACAAATCGGCTTGTCCGTGCCGGTGGCCTTCCAGTAGCCAGACGCAGCGGCCCTGTTGGGACGAGCACCATTGGGATACTTACGCTCGCGGGGGCTGAAGAAGTACCACTCGCGCTCGCCGAATAATGCATGCTTTGGGAGGTCCCAGGGATCAAACTTGTACAAGTCCACCTCGGCAATTATGGGAATTGGAGCAGTGAAAGGATGCGAAGGAGCGGCCTTTTTGGAGAGGTAGTGCACCATGAGCTCCTCGTCAGTGGGATGGAACCGGAATCCAGGGGGGAGCTGGAGCTCGGCAACTGCTGGTGGAACAGCAACTGTCACAGGTGTGGCCACTGCTTCTGCTGCGGACGCTGCTCCTCCGCCTCCAGGTGCTGCAGCTTGCGAAGGATTCACATTTCTTTCCATGATGGCAGTCAGGAAACTCGTGGCGAAGTATGAAGAAGGCGGGAGTGTGTAGAACTCCGGTGGCAGAGGCACGAAGAAAGCTGCGGGGATTTGCGGAGTGAGATCTGGGGGCAGATACGGATCATATGCTAGGCGCACAGGGCGGTGAATAAATCTCCATGACTTGCAACCAGGGCGGTGGGTGGGAAAGGAAAAGACTCTGCAAGCGAAGACGAGTGAGCAGTGCTCCTTCTCTGCGGATGAAAACTTATCCTTCTCACTCGGAGAAGTTCAGGGGAGAGAGGGGAGGAAAAGCAAGGCAGGAAAAGGAGGTGGCGGTGGTGTCAGCTTGGGATGAGCGAAGCATGGGTAAAGCGCCAAATTCCAAAGGAAGCATCTGAGAGGGACTAGAGGCCCAGCTGTCGCGCTGAGAAGAGGGAGCTCGGGTCCCCCCTTGGACACCTATGATCGACACGTAAGATGTTTTGGACGAGAAGGGAAGCTCACCGCTCGCACTGCTTCGCGCGAGTGGGCCAAAGCGAGCCCATCACAAATCCGTGCTATCGTCCCGAAAGGCGAGATCGTCTTCCATTTCCGGTAAATCTTTTCTTTCCTGCCATTCGTTCTTTCGATTTCGCGTGTTTTTTTTCCTTGTCTTATGTTCTTGAGTTCGACGGTTCTTTATTTTTCCGGTGGTTTTTGTTCTGCTTTTGAATTTTTGGCGTCTCTTCATTCACTTTGACGGATATTTATCTGATTTGATTTTCTTGGCAGGAAGCGCTTATGTGATGGATGGATGTGGTGCGGGATCCAAAAAATGCTGGCGTGCATATCTCGCTCACTGTGCTCATCTGAATTATGTTTCGGGGACCCCGTCAGCAAAGGTTCGTTTTGGCTAAACTCGCTTGCAAGCGTGCTCTAATACTGCCAAACTTTGACGACGGAAGAAGCGTTTGATCGTCGCAGCTCCACTGCTGGATTGCTCGATTCATATACACGGCACACAAACTTAGGTAAGCCATTGCTATCTTGCAAACAAAAACTTTAGTTTTTATGGTGTTTTGTTTTTCTGTACAGGTGTAAGCTTTTCTCTCGCACGCAGGATGTCTTCGTGAAATCCGACAAAAAACATCTCACGCGCTGTGAATCACCTGGTATTCATCTCAGCGGACAACATCTGCTGCTTCTAGTGGCCACGCAGCCGAGAGAGCGAGAGGCGTGCTGGATTGGAATGGCAGCATCGATCTCGACAAGCTTCACTTTGAGAGGCGGTGCTCATCACACGCCTCCGCCGCAGATTCGTCCGCAGCAAAAAACGAACAAGGAGGTGAGCCGAGGTGGGGCCTTTCGCTTTGATATCTTTGGCTGTGATCCAACCTCTCGTCAAAGTTTGCTTGCTAAAATAACTTGAGTGCTCGACCTCTTTTTTCCTCTCCGAGCGCGGCGCGCAGCGGTAATAAACGTGGCCAGAGCTTCAGCCAGTAAAAATCGTGAGCTCACTCGTCCTTTATTTGATTGTCATTCTCATGACGTGCGGATTATAGAAATCACGAGACCATCAGCTTTGTCTCAGTGGACGGCGCACGGACGAATTTGAAGCATCCGCAAAAGAACTTTGACTGGGCTATACGACAAGCTACAGGGCACCGAGTATAACACACATTCGAATTCTTTTCCATCGCATCTTGGACTTTTCAAGCTCGTGTGCTCAGATTCTATGGGTGGAAAAGAAGCTTCATTGCTTTGGAGCTCAGATTCTTCTCTCAGCAGTGTAATCACAGCACGCGAGAATAAAAGAGGAGGATAGAAACATTCGCTCAGAGACTCTTTTAGCGAATTTTTTTTTCCATCAGGGGGGTCAGAGATGGAACAATGAAAAGCTAGAGGTCATCAGCGCAAAAGAGGAAGAATACCAAGAGACCCAAGCGACCCAACAAGGAAAACAAAAAAAGTGCTCAGGATTTTTGGGATGAATCAACTTCACCGATCTTCTCAGAGTGAGCTGGAAAATCCAATCATCATCGCACGAATGCAGTATCCTCAGTCACAGAAATTCCATCACAGATATCAGAATTAGCATGGATATGAAAGAAAAATTTCTGTCATCACTGGAAAACTCCCAAAACGAACCGAGACGTGTGCTCATAGTGAAACTGCGATCTTCGATTCTGTCTACAGGCCGGATATCGGCGAATCAGAACGAGGAATTGGGTAGAATTATCGCACAAAACACACAAAGCGCAAGAACCCTAACTATGGCGGCCAAGAGCCCTAATTTTAAAACCCTAGATGCGATCTTGTTTTAAAATGGATGACTCAGCCCTAGGATCAAGAACCCTAGAAACAGAGTAGACGGGGAATGGAATTGTAGGAGGGCCAAGCAAGGCTAGGGATGAGGGCGCTGATTCTTCTGGCATCGATGTGCTGCATTGCGGCCTTGATCAAGAATGTCGCGGATGCGTTTGGCGTCCACCAGAAGATCTGGGAGCCGAAGAGGCCGCGATCGACGCAGGCATACGTGACGCTGCTCTATGGCGACGAGTTCTTGCTGGGAGTGCGCGTCCTTGGGAAATCCATCCGTGACACGGGAACGAGCAAGGATTTGGCAGTTCTTGTGTCCGACGGTGTCTCCATGGATGCGATCAGGCTTCTGGAAGTAAGTTCTCTTTTTTAGTTTTTTAGTTTTGTCTGGTAAGTTGGATTCCATTTTCATTTTTCTCTTTGAGCAGGCTGATGGATGGATTGTGGAACGAATCGAATTGCTCTCAAATCCCAACCAGCAACGCCCAGCTAGGTTCTGGGGAGTCTACACGAAGCTCAAGATTTTTAACATGACACAGTACCAGAAAGGTGTGTGATCTATTCGTTTTTTTTCTCTATCTTTGAAATGGCATTCTGGCAGTTGTATACTTGGACGCTGATACAATCGTCGTAAAAGACATTGAGGATCTTTTCCAGTGCCAGAAGTTTTGTGCCAATCTCAAACATTCCGAGCGTCTCAACTCCGGGGTGATGGTCGTAGAGCCCTCGGCAGAACTCTTCGACGACATGCTTAAGAAAGTTAGTACGCTCCCCTCGTACACTGGAGGTTCGTCTAGAAAAAAAATTGTTTTTCTTACAAACTTATCATCGCTGCTCGCAGGTGATCAAGGTTTCCTCAACTCCTATTACCCAGACTTTCCCAATGCACAGCTCTTTGATCCCAATCTCAAGCCAGATCAAAGAACACCGCGGCAAATGGAGCGACTTTCGACCCTCTACAATGCCGACGTCGGGCTTTACGTACTGGCAAATAAAGTAGGTACTCGCTCGGACGTTCTTTTCTTCATGTCGTTAACGAGCTTTAACTCTTGCAGTGGATGGTTGATGGAAGCCAATTACGCGTTGTTCACTACACTCTCGGTCCTCTAAAACCTTGGGACTGGTGGACCGAGTGGCTTTTGAAGCCAGTCGATCTATGGCAGGTAATCTGGAAACGCTCATCTCATCTTAAAGTCTGTAACTTAAGCCTCTTCGCAGGACATTCGGAGGTCTCTAAAGAGGTCTTTGCCAGGCACGGGCGGGGGACTAGTTCCACACGACCGATTCGTCGTCGGTGTGCTCTCAGTCCTTCCAGTTTTCTTTGTGGCGTTCCTGATTTGGTACCGACGTCGTCCTCCAAATGTGAGTTTTATACTTTTCATACTTTCTGGTTTTTACTAGATAAGCTATTCCCAGGGCGTTCGTACTCCTCTTTGCAATGCCTCCCTCAGTGGATGGATGCGGCAGTTTCGATTGTACAGGACCGTTTTGGGTGTTTTTTCAGCTGCTGGAAACGGTGCAAACTACCAGGTACTTTTCCTCTAGCGTGAAACTAACGTGAAGCGGTCGTTTTTGTTTACAGAATGGCCATACCAAGCACATTGCTCTCATATCCATCGTCGTTTGCTTTGTGCTGGCTTTGTTATCAGCTGGCGAAGCTTTTCATCTTATTCCCCGTCAAGTGATGCCATGGACCGGAATGCTACTTCTCTACGAGTGGACAATTTTTCTGTTCTCGCTCAGCTTTGGAACGTTCCTCGGCCTTCTTTACGACTGGGGAAAATCCACGTCAAGCTCATCTTCGCCGCCATACAAAGGTAAAGCACTTCTCGCGAGCGAGACGCTCATTTTCCGTAGCAGGTCACTCTAAGCAAGCGTCGATTTGGGACATGGAAACAACGTCGTATGGCTTTGGGATGGCTGCTCTGACTCTCCTGGTTCCCTGTTTGCCGTTTCTTCTCGGAATCACGGCCATGTTTGCGAGGTAAACAAAGCTTCTTGCGAGAATCAAAGACGCGAAAGTTTTTCTTCAACAGGGTGGGAACGTTTGTTGGAGCGGGGATGGTGCTCGCGGTGTTCATGACATACTCTGCGCAAAACTTGGGTGTTCGCTGGTTTCTACTTGGTCGAGAGGATGGTGGCTCGTCTCTCGACTTGATGAATCATTGATCATTGCAACCTCTTCGGAAGTTTTGTTCGCATGTAAACTATGGTGTGATAAGAGAAAAGTTTTAGCTGGTCAACATTCGCAAACCTTTTGGTTCTCTCAAGCTATGGTATACGAGTTTGATGGCAAGTTCATAACAGTCGTCTTGATTTTCACCATCATGTTGATGCTGTTTGTGATCCCTTGCGACCCAATGCCACTGTCTCGAACACCCTGCAAATATTTTTCGACGAGCTCTCTTTAGCACCGCAAAACTCTAGCGTGTTTTCTACAAAACCTGGAATGGAAAGTGATCCGGTCCCCTCGCTGGTGCAGCATTGATCTGAACGGTTCCAGTTTCCATAGCATCACTCACCTGCATCGCTCTGTCAAGACTCTGGGTGAAAACACACCCCTGCATTTTAGAAAAACAACGAAATAGTTAGAAACTTTCCAAAAGTATGGCTTTTCTAGCGAACCTGGAGCCCGTATCTGCTCGCATTGCAATGTTTGATGCCTTCTTCCTGCGTCTTGATTCGGATCACTGGGATAATTGGACCAAACGGCTCTTCCCACGCTATTCTCATCTCGGGCTTCACTTTGTCTACCAAAATAGGCCAGATGAGATTTCCTTGCCTTTTCCAATCCTGGTTGGAACAAGCAAAACAGAATGATTGAGTCGAAGGAATGTTTGCTATGCTGTAATCTATAGTATGGTACCTGACATAGTTTTGCACCCTTTTGCTTTGCATCGCTCACAAGCCCCTCGATAAAGTTGGCTGAAGCATCGCTAACGACTGGAACAATATCACAATCCTGTTCTGGTGGCCCAACCGTGAGCTTTGCGACCTTGGCGTTGATTTTGCTCACTAGAGTATCCGCTATGCTTTCTTGAGCCAGCACAACTTTAACTGCCGTGCACCGTTGCCCGCTACACGAGAACAACAAAACCATGAATAAAAAGAAAGAGAAAAACTCTGCAAAACGCACCTAAACGCAAAGCCACCTTTGATCACATTCGTAGCAGCAGCCTCAAGATCTGCATCATCAAGAACAATAAACGCGTCCTTGCCACCCAGCTCCATTTGTAGCGGGACCATGTTTGCCTTTCTGGAAATGGAGATTCCAGTTTCGCATCCACCTGTAAAACTGCAATAACATAAGTCAAGGCTGAGTGTAAAGTTCCTGAGGGATGATTCAGGCACCTGATACAGTTCACCATGGGATGTGTCGTCAGGTAATCACCAAGCTCAGAGACCTTTATCGTCACGCATGAGAGCAATCCCTTTGGAAATCCAGCCAAGTGGAAACAATGCATCATGTGAATAGCGGAGACAGCTCCCTGCGAGAGATAAAACAAAATAAGAAAAAGTCGAGAGTCCCGTGATGATGAACGTCATACTTGAGTTGGAGGCTTCAACACCACTGCATTTCCAGCAATCAAAGCCGGGCCGAGCTTGGATACAGACAGGTTCACTGGATAGTTAAACGGAGGAATGCAAAGAACAACCCCAAGAGGAACCTGCACTGAATACAAACGAAAGAGCCTAAGAAGTGTCGTGGCACAGAAAAACACAAACGAGACAAATCTTTGATTACCTTCGATGTGAAGCAAAGCTTGTTTCTGTCATTCCCGGGAAAAGAATCGGAGACTAGAAACTTTCCTTGCGATAGGATACGTATGCCTTCTTCAGCAGTGTAAACTATAAGATCTGCTGAGCGCACCACCTATAGAACAGCACAGAAAGTTGAGAAGACACTCACACAAAACAAAAGAAAAGGTGATGGACCTCGGTCACTGAATCCTTAGCGGGCTTGGCAACTTCTCTCACTAAGCACTCGGCAATAGGAGTTTTGTGCGCTTTGAGAATAGCGGCAGCCTTGTACAAGTACTCGGCTCTCTTGCAAAGGGGCACCTTTGCCCATTCCTTTTGTGCTTTCTTAGCACTCTGGAAGGCCTTATTCACCTCATCTCTCGTACAAGCTGTAGTAGAGAGCATTGGCTTTTTTTAAGAAAAAGTTCCTTTCTATGTTTCCCTTGGACTGGACCGACCTTTAGATCCTAGAGAAATGCAGGGATTTAATGCAAAAGAAAAAAAGGAATGAAAGAAGAGCTAGACACTAAATTCTCGCCATGGAAGAAAAAGGACGAGGAATTTCGAGCTTACCAGTCACTTTGTACTGCGTCTTGCCATTGGAAGGATTGAGAACCGCGAGCGACTTCCCCGACGACGAAGTCTTCCATTCCCCGTCGGCGTAGTAGCAGAAGACGTCGCCGTCGAGCACGGATTTGAAGGGGCCCTGTCCCGCGAGCCCCAATCCGAGGCCGCCATCGCAGCCGCAGCTGCTGAGGACGCCGCGAATGCACTCCAGCGTGCCCGATGGATCGGATCCAACCCTAGGGAGGAAGATCGACCCTGCGCATTCCAAGAACCCTAAAAAACGATCCCCCGCATTTTTAGGGCTGAAGGGACGTGTCCTTTCAGCTGACTTTGCCGTTGGGAATTAGGGCAAACACGCAGTGGAGATGACGTGGCAGGGCAGCCTCCGTCCACGTGTCATAAATCGCGCGAGCTTGGAAGAGCCCTAGGTCATTCTCTAGAGGAAGAAGCGAGCTACAGGAGCGCCAACAATGAGTACCATGAAGTTCTGCCGCGAGTGGTACGCTTTCTTTTCCAGTTTCTGGCATTTAGATCATCGGGATGGATTCTCTCTACATCTATTTTTCATGAGCTTGTGAGCATCTAAGTTTCATTAGATTGGAGCAGTAAGCTAGATTTCGTGTGCGTAATCTGGGTGTGGCTTGCTCATTTCTCCCTCGGTGTGAATTGCTCCATTTCTTCGTCACGATTTCTTTTCTTTGCAGCAATAATATTTTGTACCCAAAAGAGGATCGTGACCAGAAGCTGCTCCTGTACGCTTGTCGCAACTGCGATCACCAGGTAGGACCCTCTTCTCTCTCTCTCTCTCTCTCTCTTTTTCCTTCCAATCCTTCCTTTGGTTTGAAAAATCTTTGAAACTTTGTTCTCCCAAATTCTGGGATTCCACTTTGTAGGAGGCTGCCGACAACAATTGCGTGTATCGGAACGAAGTTCATCACACAGCCGATGAGAGAACGCAGGTTCTCCAAGATGTTGCGTCGGATCCCACGCTTCCCCGCACAAAGGATGTGCGATGCTCGCGATGCAAGCATGGAGAAGCAGTCTTCTTCCAGGTACAAAAAAAAAAAAAAAGAAAAACAGAGAGAGAGATCAATCAACACTAGAAAAAAGTTTCCAGATCCTCTCCTCTATTTTTCTTACATTGTTGTTACACTGTTGTCTCTATCAGGCAACAGCGAGGGGTGAGGAAGGGATGACGCTATTTTTCGTATGCTGTAATCCCAATTGCGGCTATCGCTGGAGGGATTGATCAAAAGAACATATCGGGTAAGATCAAGTTGGCATTTCGTGAGAGATCTTATTAGCTAGTGACTTTTTAGTGCATTTCGTGAGAGATCTCATTAGCCAGTGACTTTTTAGTGCTCGCGAAGTGTTTCCTCCACTTCGGAACGCGTGCGTTTTTCGCTACAGTTCTTATCTTACACTTGAAAGTTATAGATTTTTCGTGTCAATCTCAGATGGTTATATTTTTTTTGTGTGTGTCATTCCTCTCCTTTTCAGACGCGACACATATCACAAAACTTTTGCGGACGCGATTTGCTTGTGGGGTTAGTCACAATCTGGAATCGCTCGCTTTCGTCGCGGTTTGCTGGATGCCCGTGTGCTGTCCTCGTCTCTTCGAGCAGCAGCATTTGGATCTAGCTCGAGAGGCGAGCGAACTTGGAGATGGGTCCATGCGCTTGTCATCGATTTCTATACTTTTTTCTTCTCCAAGACCTTGGTCTCTTATGAATATCACTCATTTCCCTATGGTGGTTCCTTGTACACTTCACTGCTTGCTCTCCACAACGCGAGAATTTGGCAGCGCGTCCTCGTCTCGAGAAAAAACATTCGGTGCCATGTCGCTCGCAAAGGCGACTGCTTACGGCTTCGCCACTTGGAATATTCAAGTACCATCAATCATACTTCCATTCCATCCCATAAATAACAATTTTAAAACAAAAAAATGAAATCAAAAGTAGAAATCAAAACATAAAAAAAAAAGAAGAAGCTTCCTATCCATGAGTTGGAGCCAATTCTCTATGGTACATCCCATAAGTTAGAAAAAATGGAAAGTAAAATTTAGAGAAAAAAAGAGTAGAAATCAAAAAGATTCCAACCCGTGGTTGACTAGATCATAGAGCTTGATACAGGCTCTTTATAAAGAAAAAGAGAAATTAAGATCGTCTAGAACCTTTATGTTGAATCAAAATGGGAGTTGTAACAAGATTGGTAGAAATTGTTGGGTCCCATTGACCACCTCACTCGACGCAGACGCACACCACCATCCCTTTGTGTGTTTGCGTGGCCTACTAGCGCTACCAAAAGAGAGAGAGAGAGAGAGGAAAGCTATGGATCCCCCCTCGATAGAGAAAGATTGAAAGAAAGGAAGGAGGAGAAAAAAAAAAGAGAGAAAGACCCTCCTCATCCGCCCTTTACTTAAACCACGCTCTTTCTTCCTCCATTCCGCCCAGACGGCCAATTCCCCATAAAGATACTTCACGGGCGATCAGTCCCTCCATCCATCCATCGCTCGTGCTGGTCGATCGAGCGAGCAAAGGGAATTCTCCATGGCGTCGGCCAAATTCTTTGCGCTGGCGCTCCTCAGCTACGCATTCCTGCTGCTCATCGTCGCCACGCTGCTGCTCGCGGCGGTGCCGAGGATTCACGTCCACAATTTCACGCCCCAGCGCCAGCGATCGTCGGGGATAGCGAGCGGCCACCAAGAACACATGCGCCGGAAGCTCCTCGCCCACCAAGAACACTCTGTAGAGCAGGGGTCGATGAGCAGCACGATTTCCTCCAAATCCTCGGCGGTTCCTTCCCAATCCTCGACAATTCCTGGATTCCGCGCTAGCCTGGTGCGCCGATCGTCGACCCACGCCGCCAATTCCACCCGCGCCGAGCGATTGCGCGACGCCGTCCACCGCAGCAAGGCCAGAGCCAAGGCCCTGGCCGAGAGGATGAGCGAGAAGATCACGCCCACCAAGCTTGATTACCAGTCACCAGTGGCGTCGATCAGCGGCGCCTACACCATGGAGATCGAGCTGGGCAGCCCACCCAAGAAATTCAACGCGATCGTCGACACTGGCAGCGATCTCGTGTGGATCCAGTGCAAGCCATGCTCGCAGTGCTACAGTCAGAGCGATCCCATCTACGATCCATCCGCCAGTTCCACCTTCGCCAAGACGTCGTGCTCCACATCGAGCTGCCAGAGCCTCCCAGCGTCGGGCTGTAGCTCCTCCTCCAAGACGTGCATCTATGGCTACCAATACGGCGATTCTTCGAGCACGCAGGGCGATTTCGCGCTGGAGACGCTGACGCTGCGATCCAGCGATGGCAGCTCCAAGGCATTCCCCAATTTCCAATTCGGATGTGGGCGATTGAATTCCGGCTCCTTCGGCGGCGCCGCTGGGATCGTGGGGCTCGGCCAGGGCAAAATCTCGCTCGCCACGCAGCTGGGCTCGGCGATCAACAACAAATTCTCCTACTGCCTCGTCGATTTCGACGACGATTCATCCAAAACGAGCCCCCTGATCTTCGGCTCTTCGGCATCCACGGGCTCTGGCGCGATCTCCACTCCAATCATCCCCAATTCCGGGCGATCGACGTACTACTTCGTGGGGCTGGAAGGCATCAGCGTCGGCGGCAAGCAGCTCTCCCTGGCGACGCGCGCGATCGACTTCCTGTCCGTGAGGAACAAGAAGAAGCTGCGCGTCCGTGCCCTAGAGGTAAACTCCGGCGGTACCATCTTTGACAGCGGTACGACGCTGACGCTACTGGACGACGCGGTCTACGCCAAGGTCAAATCGGCGTTTGCCAGCTCAGTGTCGCTCCCCACCGTCGATGCCTCCAGCTCGGGCTTTGACCTCTGCTATGACGTGTCCAAGAGCAAAAACTTCAAATTTCCCGCGCTCACGCTGGCGTTCAAGGGCACCAAGTTTTCACCCCCCCAGAAGAATTACTTCGTGATAGTCGACACGGCGGAGACGGTGGCGTGCCTGGCAATGGGCGGCTCGGGCAGCCTCGGGCTGGGAATCATAGGGAATCTCATGCAGCAAAACTACCACGTGGTGTACGACCGCGGTACGAGCACCATCTCCATGTCCCCCGCGCAGTGCGACTCGTTATAGCAGCTCCCGCACGAGGCCGCGTACGTGGTACCGCGCGGTGGTGGCGGTATCGGCCCAATATATTCTGGCGGTGCCGTACAGTGCCGTCGTGCATTGTTCCAAGCGCTTCTCGTGGTATATGTAACTTTCATAGCCTTAACCTTACAAGTGTGATTGAGTTCTCACATTTGCTCTCGAGTCATATAGAGTGATATTACTACAGGAAAGTTGGTTCCAACTTTAATTCATACTTTGATGAAGAGCTTCTTCCACCATATAGAGGGGATACTACAGGAAAGTTGGGAACTACCGAAGTTTCCAACTCGATTCATACTTTCGGATCCTCGATGAAAGTGCTCCTTACACCACTTGAATTGATGAGACCTTCGAGCAAAGGATCTCTTGTGGAAGTCTCAGAGTTTCAGCTTGATTCGCTCCGACCACTTTGGAAGATTCGAGACGACCCTGTCGCCACCGAGGTCCCGGCCCGACGCGCCAGCGGCAACCCGGAGAACATCCTCGATCAGCGCAAAGTTTCCCATGATGTCGACATGGCTGCCGCTCTGCGTGCCGCGGCCTTCGAGCAAATTCGCCGGAGGAGCGTGCTGGAATTCCCGGGTGAAGCTGGAGATGTTGCTTGGGTTGAAGCGAGTCTTGCCTTGCCACGGCTTGGCACACATGAAGCCTGCGCTGAGGACTGGCACCGTCTCGTCGCCGTCGACGAAGTGGACTCCGCCTTTGAGACATCCTTCCGAATCCTTCTCGGCCGATGCGTCGATTCTAAACGGGATGTAGCAAGTGTCGTTGTCTGACGATAGCTTGTAGACGTAGCTTCTCTCGGTCAGGATACCGACACCGTACAGGCAAAAGATTTCCATGTCCGGGGCGTTTGGCAGTCTGGAAACAAGAAAAACAAACTTAGGAGAGACAACGAGGATGAAATAAGCACTTACGTCGACTCGAGAGGATTTGACCAGTACTTGTAATGCTGGTACTTCGGATCCGAAAGGTCGTCAGCAATCTCGTAAGCCCAGTTTGCATCAGCTCGCTTCATCATTTGCGGTGCCACGAACCTCAAAACATCAAGCATCCCCGAAGATGTGTACACTTTGCCATCGGCCACGGCTTGAACGCTCTCCCAGCTCATCTCGTGATACTCCGTCCACACGTCTCCGCAAGAGACATTCTCTCGCACGGGCGTTTGTTTATCTATATTCTGTTGAAAGGAAGCATTAGCATGCAATGAGAAAGGTGTAAAACAACAGCGTACCTTAAAGTCAATCTTTCTATCGAGAGCAGAAGAAGCTTTCTGCACTGAATCTTTTCCGAAAGATACCATCCTCCCGTAGTGTGCCATTGGTTTTCCATGCGGTCCCAGCTCTTTCCCATCCGTTATGTTCTTCGTTTGGCATTCGGTAACTTCCTCGACCTTCGGCTTCTTGCCTGAACAATCGTATCCTTCTTCTGGCGATGAATCCAAATCTCCCCAGATTACCTCCCCTCCTCTTGGGAGCATCGACATCGTAGCATCCCACGTACGAGTAACTGACATGATATGCTGCAGCGTCTGTAGTCCAAACAATTCGGAGTCAAGAACACCTGGTGCGACAGCTCTGGATACAAAATACAAGACGATAAAACGTGGAAAAAGAAAATCAAAGAATACCTTGCAACAGCTATATCTTTCGCTTCAGCGGAGAACAGACCAGCGAATGCTTTAGGAACGCCCAGAAAAGGGCCACCGATGTTCATCACGCTTTTGATGTGCTTTGCAACCCAGCCTTCGCCGGCACCGGCACCACCTGCAGAAATCGGCGCTTCCACCCACTTCATAAAGTGTAGAAAATACAACGCCCCCATAGAGTGCGGTATGACAACCACCTTTTCGTTGTTGTTCGTGCTTACGAGAAGCTCAATGGTGCTTTTCAGCCGGCTCAAGCTTTTATCACGACTCTGCCAACAAGAAAAGAAAAAAGCAACCCGTTAAATATCAGCAGAGAAAAAGAGAAAGCACAGTCGCCACACTCACCTCTGTATTCTGAAAGGACAGCCTCCAGTCGTAGGAAGCCATATGCATTGACTTCTCTTCGTATCCCAGCCGAGCCAGATTGTCTATAAGAACAGCCCACACAAAATATCCCGGTGCAAAGTAATCAGCGGCCACAAGGCCGGACACAGCTCTCACTCGAATGCCGGCCGGATCTAAGCCAGTCTCATTGTCTAGTCTCATGTGCTCTAGCCAGCACAAAGGCCTGCCAAAACAAAACAAAGCAAGAACTTCATCAAACATTCACGAGAGAGACAAACAAGAACCAACCAAAAAAAAGAAAAACTCGAACCTTTTGTAGACTTCTCCAAACGTTCCACCCCAGAGTCGCTTTCTAAACAATCCTTCCGCGCAAGGACGTCCAGCCCAGAGCTCCAAGCCACCCGTGACAATCCCAGGAACAAAAACAACGGGGTGCTTGACACGGAGCCCCTCTCTGGCCAGCCTTGTCCCGGGAAGCTCCGGCAATGGCCCTGTGATAGCCTCGGTCACGTACTGTGGCAGCGAAGGGACCGCATTGTAGAGCACCAGAAAGAGCCACCACATGACACACATATAGCCGATGAGCCAGCAGCATGTATCCAGGCAGCGCCACTTTGGCTTCTCGCGAGCTCGAACGGGGATTCCAGGCACCATGCTAGATTTCCCCTTCTCGTCCTTGCCAATCTTGATAGAATCCTTTCCCCCCTGCTGCTGCTGCTTGGAATTCTCGCCATTGCTGCCGCTATTACCATCCTCCTGCTGCTGCTGCCGATCCTTGCTTCCTCCATCCTCGTCATTGCCTTGCTTCCGCCGGCGCAGCATTCTCGGGAGGTCGATCGATCGCTCTAGTTGCAAAATCTGCCCTGATTCATCGATAACCCCTTCAAGAACCCCGGCGATGGACGATTTGGCCGCTGGCGGCCACAATCTCACCTCGAGCGATCCGCGGAGTGGATGCGCGCCCTAGAAATCCATCAAAGATGCCACCGCCTTCCGGCTGCTAGCGCTAAAACTTTGTGTGGTACCTAATGGCCTCGCGTCCATGCACGCAAACACACTAAGTGATATTACTTTTCACCCTAAAGAGAGATACGCCCTTCAACGTGGGAGAATAGAAAACAAAGAAGGTTCTACATCCTTCTTCGAGAGACTGTATGGCGATCTTATCGATTTTTCGACCGAGATCTTCGATTTTCCTTGTTCTTTTCTGGTGTTCTTCACGATGTAAATGCCGCAGAGTGATTTGCAACCACAGGGTCCTGTGACAAAAATGGTAAAAATATCTGAAGTTTTCCCAACGATCAAGCCATGTTTAAACACAATGATTTAATAATGCCCGCTTCACATGGTATAATAGTATTGCCCCAGCCCAGGCTTGTAGGGTACACTAAAAATTGGGATGTTGCTCCTCCATTCATGACTCATTTCAAGTTGATTAGTCTGTTTCTGTTAACAAGTCTGCTGAGCAACAAGATGCTGATTTGTGATGAAGTCTCTCGTTTTTCAATCCCAAATGTCTGGGACATTTGATTATCATAACTGTATGAACAAAGGTGAGTACATGCTCAATAGTGGAAGTTCCAGTGTTCCGCTATTGAGCATGTACTATCACATTCAACACAGAATTTGTTTTTTCATTCACTTTGCAGTAATTTATTCCATCTCAACACATTTGTTCTTATCGAGAACAGACTTAGTCTACTCTGAACGCACCGGCAGCCTTTCAGTCTGAATGTTTATCTTGTCCTCTGGCTTACAGTCCCTTGCTATAAATTGGTGAGTGTTGTTCCTCAATTCGCCAATCCTCATCTGCTCGTTCCAAGTTCATTAGTCTGTTTCTCTTCAACAACAAGATGAAGCCTGTTGTGCTGGTTTGTCTCCTCATAATGGCTCTTGTTTTTCAGGGCTGCCACTACAACGCTCTCGCTGAATCTTGTGATGATGACGACAAAGTCTGCACTGGCAAGATATATGGGAAACTTAGTGGTCATAACTGTCAGAGGAAAGGTGGGAAGCAGTATGGATACCAGGGCAATTGTCTGCGTATCAAGCAGGCGATCGGACTTGAGGGAGGATGCTGCTACTTGAGCTGAATGATTCAGAATGACTTGAAAATGAATAACCATAAATAAAAGTTTGTTGGTTTTTGTCTTGAACACTTTCAATAACTGCCCTGCTCGCTGCGGCAATCTGGAGCGCATCACGGACCATCACTTGTGCTCTGGCACGTCTTCAGCTTTGTGGAACTTCCAGAGTTGTTCACAATGCGGGCTGTCTGCAAGTCCTGGTATGATGCTGTGCACTCTCCTCGTTTCGCTCAGCTGTACAAGGCTACAAGCCACCGCTCGAACCCTGGGCCCTGCTCAGGCTGCGGACAGATCCGCCTATTGACCAGTTTCGTTTGCTTCTTACAAAAGTCGTGTAGAAGCTAAGAGCTATCATGAGGAAACAGACCAGAACAACCTTCGCCTTCATCTTGTCGCTACAGAGCCGATCCAGAGCACTAAGAGAAACAGTAGCCTCCGATCCCAACTCACTGTCGCGGTGCCTTGCCCTTCCAACAAGCAAGCTCCACAGCCTTTCTACTGACGGCCATCTCATACATTACCTCTTGTCTGCGCCCGTATCTGCATTATCTAGATTGGTAAGCTTGTAGCTGCACTACGTTTAAAGTCAAAAACCCTAATAGCGAGTAAATGGGGAGATGGGGCGCCTTTGAACAGGATGGGGGTCGCTGCGGCAATCTGGAGCGCATCACGGAGCCATCGCTTGTGCTCCACATCTTCAGCTTTCTGGCTCTTCCAGAGTTGTTCACATTGCGGGCTGTCTGCAAGTCCTGGTATGATGCTGTGCTCGCTCCTCGTTTCGTGCAGCTGTACAAGCCATCGCTCAAACCCTGGGCTGTGCTCAGAGTGCGGACGGATCCGCCTGTTGACCGGTATGCTTGCTGCTTTCATCATGATCGTTGAAGTAAGTGGCTCTGTAGGGAGCTTCGCTATGACGAGGAGCATTTTGATTATGGCATGAAGCTGGAGAATCACACTGAGCTATGGCGTCCACACCTGAGCTTGAACCAACGTAAGAGATGCAGTCTTCCATTGGGCCCATCAGGTTCGCGTTTCGTGGGCTTGTGTTCTTCCAATGGACTTGTCTGTGGCATGCTCATGGAACATAGAGACTCGGTGACTTCAGCTGTGGGAAACCCGATCACCAACATGTGGAAGGCACTACCGCCTGCTCCAATTGCCTCTCCGGATCGTCCACGCCCAGCCTACCTCAACATCTCCATGGAAGCAGAAATAAACGCAGACAGTAGCTCTTACCAGGTCGTGATACTGTACCAGAAGTACCAGACTCCTGTTGAAGGCCCGACAGAAGATGATGATGACGACCAAATTTGCTCACTGCAGTACGAATCAGAGTCATGTTCTTGGCATGAAGGCCTGCTCTTCAGCACTTCAAACTCATTGGGATCACCTCTCCGAGGGTGTGCTTTCTTCTACACTGGGGAGAACATATTCCCAGCTTACGATCCGCATTCCAGAGCTTGGTCTCATGTAGCTATCTCGCCACCAGCACGTAACGAACAAGAACAAGAACAGGAAGACGATAGCTGGGCAAACTGGTCTTTTGGATACATAGGTGCCTTCATGTACAAGGGGAAATGCTACTGGGCATCGTTCATGTTCAATGCAGAGACATTTGAAGACATTGGAGTGGCGATCTGGGAGATGAAACAGGAAAACTCAATGTGGGTCTTGGTGTCGCGGATTCTGTCCACGGACCTGTTTGGAACCAATTGTTGTTTGTCAGTGGGGGACAAGGATATGACCGTGAGGCTGGTCGAGGACACCGCTTTCATCTTGGTTTTCTATAGGAAGGAAAGCCATGGGGTGTGGCCTCCTGTTGCGTACGACTTTGCTCTGTCCAAGTGGTATACTTGCTGCATGGAGAACATGGAGAACGAGGATATTGAGTGCAATTATGTGGTGATACCCAGCCTAACTGCCAAGCCTTAACAGGATCTCCATATGTAGGAAACGAGAAATTTTCAGATCATACCAGTGAATGGAATGTTTCCTGTTCTGGGTACAAATTCCTATGAGCTGCATAAGTTTTGTTCATGAATAAATTACTCAAAACTCCAAGTTTCCCAAGGAGGACCCTTACAACCACGCCTGACTGGGCTATGACCAGTGGTTTTTATCAAAATTTTGTACATAATTAAAACATTCTGAATATTATGCCTTGAATTTGCTTGAGAGCCTGAAGACGAATGTTGTCAGATTGGATTTGATTAATTTGACTTTATTCAATGATGACTACAATGACATTAGAGATGGACAACATTCCAGTTGACTCTTTTTTACATTTCCTCCTAAGGTAGGGAGTCGAAAATGTACTATTTAGCTTTTATAGCTACTTAGAGGTTCGTTTTAAAACCAAAACTTTAAACTTCCTGCCCTAAAATTCTGCAAAAGTTATCCTCCAAAGGTATTTATGAATGATTGATATGTACTGTAAAAGGGATCTGGTTCAAGTCAATGTGGAGCTTTTTGACACATCTTAAATGTTTGCTTACTTTCTTCGTGTCCAAAATGGTGAATTCATGTCATCTCTTAGTCTCCAACCTCGACTCAACAATCGGCTGCCACTGCGTCTTGGAAGCGCCGCCTGACTCCACGGCAGCTTCTTGTTGGGCAGCAGCAAGCAGCAGTATAGCAGCGCCTCCAAGCTATCGACCAGTTCCTCCAGCGGTACCCCCAACAAAGCCGCGTCCGCGCAAACAGCCCAGTCCACAACCAGCCTTGGAGGCACGGCGGTGGCCAAGGCTCTTGGCCAAGCCTCATCCACGAGCTTCGCGAGAGCACTCAGCCCTTGCCACTAAAAACTCCATCCTTGAAGCTCGATGTGGACAATCTCAGAAACATTGAAAGTCCTGGACAGCTGCTTGCTCATCTCGTAAACTTCCTCATCAGAGATGCTAGCACTCTCCGGATCCGCCAAAGAGACACCTGCGCCTCATATCTGTTGATCCCAGCTACTTCCACTGGAAAAGCGGCCTGATGATCAAGCCACTGGCGGCACAGCACCTGGATCGTCTTCCTGTTTGGCCCGAGCTCAGAGCTCGCCCTCCCACTCCACCGAGAGCACTATGCACCACTTCTGTGTGGCTCCAACAATTTTAAGAAAACCATCTATACTAATGGTGGTCATCTGCACCTGAACGTCTTTCCAACTCTCCACCACCTTTGCTTCTATAGCGGCCTTGAGCTTGAAGTGCAAATGGTCATTGACTTCGCAGACATCGCTTTTGGCATCCTCTGCCTGTGCTTTTGCCTTCTCCAGCAAACGTGACAGCGGTTCAAAGAAGCCTTTGGGCTCAGCACACGCAGAGTGCTGGAGGCGAACAGTTTTTACATGACAACCGGGCTCATGAACTCCCTCTTGAAAGTGAGACAAATCAGGACCAAAGTCCACCACACTAGCGGACAGAACAGGAAAACCCTAATGTCTATATGGCGAGGTGTGTCATGTAACACTCCCCCCAAACCAAAGCCACTCACCAAACCAAATCTGTCGCATAGGAGCTGAAACTAGTGTGGCCCCAATGGCTTGGTGAGAAGGTTGGTTGGCATGTCTTGTGTCCCGAGATGTTGGATGGCCAGGGTGCTGCTGTCAACCAACTCATGCATGTAGTGAAATTGGACTTCAATATGCTTCAAGCGAGCATAGTGGATGGGGTTCTTGGACATGGCAATGCTACTTTGGTTGTCACACCAAGAAGTAGTGGGGCCAACTTGTGCACATCCCAGCTCAACAAGTAGCCCTTGAGCCCAAACCACGTCCCTGCTACTAGTAGTGAGGTGATGTACTCCGCTTCTGCACTAGAAAGTGCCACCACAGATTGTCGCTTGGAGGCCCATGTGATGGCACCTCCTAAGAAGGAAAGGTAAATGCTAGAAGTCAAGCAATGACTTTTGTTGTTGGCAAAACTAGCATCTGTGTAGCATGTCAATGATGCATCACCCACTGAATAAGCAATGCTGTAGTCCATAGTGCTTTAGGTATCTTATGATACACTTGGCAACTTGCCAATGTATGGTGGTTGGTGATTTGTTGTACTGACTCAAGGCAATAGTTGCATAGTGATGTCGGGGCAAGTCATCAGGGCTAAATACGTGAGGCAACCAATGAGATGCCGATACGAGTCCCAGTGGGTAGAGGGTCACTAGACTGCTCAATTGTGAGGTCGATAGCACCAACAACCATCAAGGTTTTGACAAGGTGGCAATCACACATACCAAACCAATCTAGCAAGACTTCAACCTTACATCGTTGGCTAAGCATGTAGCCACCAGACTTAGGATCATATGTGACTTCAAAGCCAAGAAAGTAAGAGACTTAGCCAAGGTCCTTCATCTGGAATTGCTGGCTGAGAGCAACTTGCAGAGCAGCAATGGCATTTGTGTCATCACCCATGATGAGCAAATCATCAACGTAGAGGGCCACAATAAGCATGCTCTTAGCATGACCATTCACATACACATTGTGATCAACATGGCAGCAACAACAGCAATGAAAGCCTTGAGCATGTAGGGTGGCATCAAATTTTTGATACCAAATATGGGAGCTTTGTTTTAGGCCATATAAAGCTTTCTGCAATTAGGGCCACTAGGGGCAACAAAACTAGGAGGTATATGCATGTAGATATCCTCTTGCAAATCCCGATTCAAAAATGCTATTTTGACATCCATATGGTGGACTTGCCATTTGTGAGCAACCGCAAGTGCAAAAAGGGAACCAAGGCTGGCCATTTTTACAATCGGTGAGAATGTTTCATCTTAGTCAAGGCCATGGACTTGGTGAAATCTGCAAACAACCAACCATGCCTTATAATATACAACCTGACCATCTTTCCCATACTTTTTGGAAAAAATCCATTTTGGATCCAAAACACGTCATCCCGGTGGTGCTAAATTAACTGGAACATAAGTTCTGTTAACCCAAATGGAAGCAACTTCTTCCACAATAGCTTCCATCCAAGATGGAGCCTTAGGTCCTGAGACGGCCTTATCATAGGTCATGGGGATGCTGACGTCAACAAGGCCACAAAAGTCATCAAGCTTTACAGCATTTGCTTTAGTATTTTCCCGGACTTTCAATGAGGGCTGATGTTTCTGAGGGTCATCAAGAACTGGCATTGGATCAGGCATGCCACAACGTCGACAAGGTGGTGAAGGTGTCGAAGGCCTGTCCTCAACTGGAGGAGAATTAGCTGGTTCAAGCATGTCCAGAAGTAGAGGATTCCCCAATGGAATCTCTAGTGGCAACTCATGAATAGGATCCAAAGGCAGAGGCAAAAGTGGACCATCTCCCATAAGTGGGATAAAAGGAACAAGTCGAGTCTTAGCAATGAAAGAAAGATCTTGAAGAGCCTTTATATGCATGGGAAAGTCATCTTCGTTGAACATGATGTCTGTGCTTACAAGGGCCTTGTGAGATCCCACAACTTGTAAGCTTTTCTCCCAATTGTGTCATCTTGTGCATATCCCACAAAGATGAATTTTTTACTTTTGAGATCTAGCTTTTTCCGAAGTTGATCATGTTAAGGTATACGCTCTCTATGACATGATCCTAGGTGGTAGTAGTGCCACTTCACTGATCCAAGTGTAGGCTAGAGGCGTGTCTCTTGATCATGTATATATCTCTATGATATTATATACAACTATCCTTTGAGTCATCCTTGTCCATTGTAGCTTTCGCTCTTCTTCTTCTTCATGGTATCGGAGCCCTGAGGGCTTCAGATCCTGGGACGATGGCGCTGGCTAAGGAGGAGGCCAGTGAGGATGACGATGAGCCACTAGACGTGGCTGAGAGGTGCCAGGATTTGGCACTGCACTGCTAAGCGCCAAGATAATGGCACTAGCGAGCTGAGCAAGGCGCTAGGGCGTGATCGGGCAGAGACTGGCCCAGAGGCGCTGGCAGATGCGCTGAGAGAGGGCTGGCATAAGGCACTAAGTGGTACTAGAGCACTAAGTGATGTGTGCTAGGGCGTGAGAGAGCAGCTTGAGAGAGCGGCTCTGAGGCGCTGAGAGAGCCACTGAAAAGAGGCACTGATTGAGGCGCTGACTGAGGTGCTGATAGGAGGCACCGAAGAGGCACAAGTGCTTGGAGTGCTGGGACTGGTCAGAGGAGCATGTATGGAGCGTTGGAGTGTTGTCTAGAGGTAAACAGGCAGAGGCAATGTTGAGTGTTGGGCTGTGAGAGGGCTTTGTAGCAGAGGGAGAGAGCCGTTAGGGCTCTGGTAGAGGAGGCTTGATTGAGGCTAAGACAATGGGAGCTTCAGCCGAGGCCAATGAGAGATCAGAGGTATTCCTTGGTCCATCCTTGCTGTGTTTAGACAGGTGTTTCCCGAGAAGGAGATCCTGAGAGGCGGCCATGGGACGATCCAAGAGGCAAAGAGCCATGGGTTCTAGAGAGGTAGTGCTATAGGTTCCTGAGAGGGAGACAAATTCCTATCGTGGATACGAGAGAGTGCTTGGATGTAAAGGGAGAGTGATCTTAGATTCATGTCATCGAGATCAAGAGGGAGTGTTGAGGTATACGCTCTCTATGACATGATCCTAGGTGGCAGTAGTGCCACTTCACTGATCCAAGTGTAGGCTAGAGGTGTGTCTCTTGATCATGTATATATATCTATGATATTATATATAATTATCCTTTGAGTCATCCTTGTCCATCGTAGCTTCCACTCTTCTTCTTCTTCAGATCAGAGGTATGCACATATGCTGCACAACCGAAAACTCAAAAGTGGGACACATTAGAAGTAGAATCTGTCCAAAATGCCTCAAGGGTTTTTCCATCCAAAGCAGCTGTGGCAAGGTGATTTTGGACATGCATTGGCCTCTTGCCAAAACATCTTATCAAGATGTGGATTAGCTAACAAAGCGTGAGCAGCATTGACAAGAGTGCGATTCTTCGTTTTTACAACACCATTTTGCTGGGGGGTGTAGCGGGCTGTAACTTGCAATCATATGCCTACATCACGACAGATGCCCCGAAGCTCATTGTTGAGGTATTCACCACCACCATCAACTTGAAGAGTTTTTATCTTTCGACCAAAGAGATTTTCAACATATGCTTTGTATATTTGAAATGTAGCAACTGCATCACTCTTACACATCAAGAAGTGAATGCATGTCCAACAGCTATAGTCATCAATAAATGTGATCAAATATCTTGCACCATCATGGCTTGGCATGTCCATGGGGCCACAAAGATCAGAATGGACCTAGTCTAGAAGTTCAATTGCTCGATGCGTGCTCAATGAGAAATTCTGGCAGTGATGCTTGCCTAAAACATAAGCTTCACAAAATGTAAATGGGATATGTCGGAAATCCAATCCAATAACAATATCTTGGGATTTCATCTATTGAAGAGATTGATAATGACATAACCAAGTCTCTTGTGCCAAAGTTCCACACAAGAATTTGCCTCTACAGTTTGAAAAGCCTAAACTTGGTCGGCAACAATGATTTCATACAAGTCCCCAATGTGTGGCCTATGAAGCAACTGTGTACCAAGCATGTGAAAGTTGCTAGAGTCAACCAAAGAGACTCCCTTTGCATCAAAGACTACCATTGCATTTTGATTATATATCTTGGTAATGGACATTAAATTTTGTCACAAGGTGGAAATGTGCATGGCACTATCAAATGCCACAGTCCTCCCATGATTAAGTGAGAGTTGAAATTGCCTAATGCCTTCCACAAGGATAGTGGTATTGTCATTTAAATGAACACCATGTTTTCCAATGCTAGATTGATAACACTCAAAAAGACTCTTTTATTGCCCATAAAATTAGTACAACTAGAGTCTAGGAGCCACCTACTTGGTGTTACAATTGCCTCTTCATTATAGAGCTCCTCAACCACCTCATTTGTTGTAGCAATTCAGATTGGCTTTTGCCATCATAGCTAGTCACTTGTTATCTTTGGTTGGAAAAGCAATCATCCCTGGTTGGAGAAGCAGGCTCTCAACTGCATTCTTCCAGCTAGCTGGCAAGGACCTGTAGAGATGCAACCTTTGTTGCTCATCTGTGAGATAGTGCTTCGCTAGCAGCCGCAAGTTGTGTGAAAAAGCCTTGGAGTTTGGCAAGTGTGAGTCTGAATACTGCCATTTTCCTCTAGCCTTAAGGAATCCATTTGTGAATGGATGTTGAAAACATCCATTTCACTCTTGGTGCCATAGGTGTCACTCAACCACTTCCAGAGTGCTGCTGCAGTGGACTTTAGAATCGATGGGGCAACAAAGAGAACATTCGAGGACAAGCACATTGCAATACTCCCTCTAGCCTTGGAATCCTAAAGGTTCCAATCATGCACCTTAGCAGCACTAGAGCCTAGAGCCGGTGATGGCTTTGTCCCATCTACAATCCCCAACAAACCATGAAACAAGAGGTAGGATTCAAGATGGATCTTGAATCCCTCAAACCCTTCTCTATCAAACTCACGGATGGATGGCTTTCCTTCCATAGTGCTATCCCAGCTCCCATACCATGAGACAAATCACACTAGCGGACAGAACAAGAAAACCCTAATGTCTATGTGGTCAGACATGTCGTGTAACAAAGAGGAGGGTCACAATGCGGGTCTTCCCTCAATCTTCCTTCACCGCATAGACTAAAAGCTATGTTGGCTTGCGTCATCCAGCATTGATCCAAGACTTGTTGTTAAGTTCGTGCCTGCTACGGCAGACATCGCTTCCCTCCCATCGATGAACACTCGCCCACCGGCAAAGCACTATTCTCTTCCTATATCTTTCTGTTCTGCCAGGTTGAAAGACAGCTTCGCGTATGCAACACCAAGCCGAGGGAAGATCTCTCGAGTATACGGCGACAGAAGCTCTCACAGTGAGTGTGCTGTCTTTGGATCGCTCTCATCAGCCATGTACACTCATATGCATTCGAACATTCGAATGCAACCAGATTCGAACGGGTATTGAACGTTTAATACCCGTTTAGCTTTTTTTCGAACGGGTATAATGGTTTTCAGTTTTAATATAATTAAAAAATAATTAACTGTTACTAAACAAAGTTTAACATAATATAATATAGGTTTAATCTAATCTTCATCCTTTGAATCTAGAACATCATCACCACTAGCGTCGTCATCATCAGGTTGTTGAAGAGGTTCTTCAACAACCTCCTGAAGTGCAAGGATCCTTTGCCACTGAGGCTCAAGCTCAAGGTTATCAAGATCATGCCGATAAGCCTCAAACTCCCGAACTCAATCTTCTATACGACACGCATATTTGTGTGCACAAAAACCAGCTTCTCCAAATTTTTGGAGAGTAGTCGAGACCTCCTCTTCATCTAGATCATGCTCCATGAGCTCCAGTTTCGCTCCCATGGTGAAGCACAAATTGGCTGACTCAAGATCCGTAAAGCAAGCCTTTGAAGTTCTGGTGTGCCTACACCAAAGTTGCTCCACCAACTCACCGGGTGTTTCTAGTTCTCCATCTATACAAGAGAATCAGTCTAAAAAGTTGACAAACAAACAGTTTATACACACCTGCTTTGCTGCCTCCGAAGAGAACAAACGGCCAAGTTGTTGACGGAAACTCTAAAACTCATGCAGCAGCTTGTGTTGAAGTCCTCGATCTCCTTTGCAATACAACTCTAGGTACTCCACAAAATCTTCCTGAGCCTCCTGGTCAAGAGGGAGATGAAGAAAGGCTGGGTTCAGAACAAAAGCAGCTCCATGCAAGATCGAATGCATCTAGAACCAATGAGCTGCTTTCCGACCTCCCTCGCCATGATCCTCCATCATGAACCTGTTGATCTCCTTGACCTCTTCCTCAACTAAAATCCCAGTCTCAACAGCCTCTGAAAGCTTCTTATTCATCCGGTCCATAGCCTCGAAAATGAGACCGGAAGTTGTCCCCTCCCGGTCTGCAAGCTTCAAGACCTTGAGAAGCAGTCCAAGCAGCACCAACAAGTGTTGGCACCTAGTCCAGAAAGAGTTCGGAGTCTCTTCTAAGATCCGAGTTCGAATGCGCTGGGCTTTGGCGGTCTTCTTGACGTCCACATCGCCGCCACTCAGAGCTCACAACCATCTCCTTCAATGCCTCCAAGGTCGTCAGATTCAGGAGTTGAGACATCACTAGAAACATGTAAGTGAACCTTGTGCTTGCTGGCTTGATGAGATCCTGATTGCTTAGCTTCCGAAACAAAGCCAGAACACAAGATTTTTTGGTGATAAAAGTTACCACCTCGTTGCAGCCTTTCACCAGTGGTTTTACCCACGACAAGCTCCCGATATCTTCGAAGAGAAGGTCCAAGACGTGGCACACACACCGGCTGTAGAGAATGTGAGGATACTCAGCTGTCATGAGTTCTCCCATCTGCACACAGTTTGATGTATTGTCAGTGATCACTTGAACAACATTTTCTTCGCCAACTTCTTGAATCACTTTCTTCAGCTTGACCCAAATCCACTCTCCCGTCTTTGTCCTGCCCTCAGAATCTACAGACTTCAAGAAAACCGAACCCTGGACGTTGGAGGCCATGAAGTTGATCAAGGATCGGCTATGGTTGTCAGACCAGCCATCGGTGACGATGTTAACTCCATATCTTCTCCACCCCTCACGGATTGGATCAAGTCAAGCATTGACACTATCATAAAGCTTCTTCAACTGTGTACTCCGCAGCTTCTCATATTCTGTGCAAGAGCTCCAGGGCCGAAGTCGATAGTAGCTTGAAGCAACTTCCTCAAATTTGGCCTCTGAATGGTGTTGAAAGGGATATTTTCAACGTAGAAGAACTCAGCCATGGCATTATCCAGACATTGAACCTTTGTAGACTTCATCATCTTTCAAATGTCACCATCCAGCACTGGTGCAGCACTTCGTTTAAGACTGCTGCTCCCGAAAAGTGGAATACTGCCGCTGCTCACCTCACCCAGCCCTTCAATAGCCCCACCACTTGCCCCACAGCTGGCACCGCCGCTCACCTCACCGACCTCAGTCTCGTGAGCTAAGGCAAGTCTCTCTTGGGGACTTGTTGCAATCATGGAGCTCTTCGTGAGCTCCACACAATTAAAAGATGCCCGAGCCTTGTTCACCACCTCCAGTGGCATTTGTCCTGTACAAATCTCTACATTCCTTCCTTTCACACCCCCAAGGTGAGCACGAACTTATTCAGCCGTGCCGGTGTAAGTATTCGAGCAATACTTACACTTCCATGGACTCACACCGTGGCTTGTCTCGGATGTCAGCCTCAATTTCAGAACAGAGCCCAGCTCCAGCATGGTTGCCTTCCTCCCCCCATCCCGGACTTACCTCAACACTTCTGGATCCTGTGAACCCTGATTTTACATGAACCCTAATCCTAAGTAAAAGAAAGCATATTCTTTAGGGTTTTTTAAAAATATTCTTGGTGTTTAAACGCCGTATTATATGTGCGTTTTAAACGGCGTTTTTTATTAATCACACCCGTTCAAATGCAAGTATGCTCGTAACCCGAGGCTGCATATTTCATTGCGAATACTGGTAATGTTTGCATCCCACCAGGACTGCCATATTCCCGCATCGAACCAATGCCATAACACACGAAGATGACGGACTGCCTAGGGCATACGTTCTCTTACGGCACAGTTCTTCCATGAATATCGTACTACGTTACAATCACTCTATGAGAACGAGAATAAAAAAGATAAAAGGACTTACTTAGTTGCCATTTCCTTCTCTTCCGACCAGAGATCGGCCAGTCCTGCATGAGGGCCGCATGCAAGCAGTGGAAGGATCTCATCGGATCACCTGAATTTGCTCTTCACTGATAGATCCAGCGGGACAAGAAGTAGCACAACATGAACTGGGTTTTGCACTCTGCCGGTGGCTTGTTATTTGGGAGCTTATACTCCGCTAGCACGCTTTTCGCTGCATCAAAGGACGAGATTATATGGAATGTCCAAGATCCTTGAGATTTTTTAGGTTTTAGGGGTTTAGGCGATACCATATATGTCAGAATATGTAGTGGGGATTAAAATCACTGTTAAACCCTTAATTTGAATTATCGGACTTTTTCTCGAAAACTACTTAAAGAAGGTTTTAACGCAAAAATCCTTCTTCTACAAACTCTATATAGATCTTATCAATCTTCCGACCGAGATCTTCGATTTCCCTTTCCTTTCACGAGACCGTGGATTTAAATGCCGCAGCCGTGCATCTCACGTAAGCATCGGCTTGTGCTTTGCATCGCACAGGATCCTGTAGAGGAAGATAAGAAAACGTTGGAGACGAAAGTGAAGAGTACCAGTTTTTGGTAGCATTCGATGCATGCGTCCTTCTCAGCAGCGCAAGGTTGTGCTCTCGGCGCAGATCTGCTGTAGCGAGGAAGATTTAAACCAAGAACGAGATAAAAGAAAAACTCAGAGACGAACTTACTCGCTGCGGTGCCTGTGTTGTAGCTCTTCGGCTCTCTTCTTCATCTCTTCGAGCTCACTGATGCCTCGTTTCTGGAGTTCCTCGCCGTGCTTCTCCTGGGAAACACAAATCATAAAATAAGTAAGCTTCTCGAATAGCCGAAGACTCGCAACAAGCAAACAGGAAGGAAGGAAAGAATGTGAGCAACGTTTTAGTAGAGACACTGCCACGATGGAATGCGTTCTCCGTGAAAGAAGCTCTGCGGTTGTCTGGCCGCTGCCCCGGCTAAAGAAATAACCGAGGCCTTTGATCTAGGAACCATGCACGCACTCGTAGCTATCGACGAGCTATACCAGCGCTAGAAAAGTTCCAAACAAAAAACCAGAAAAAGAAAGGAAGACAACCACTTACAGTTTTTTCGAGAACTCCCATCAGAGGTTGCAAATCCCTGGCGACGGCAGCAGCGGGCACTTCAGCAGTGATTCTCGTCTCGTCACCAGGCTTCACATCCTGATCTTCCATCCCATCTTCTTGTTTCTCGATCTCCTCTTTGCGAAGATCCTGCTGCTGTCTATCCATCTTTGTCGCCACTTCCTTGCCCGGTCCATCTTCATCGTAACCAGGAGCCCTGGATTCATCCTTTCTCCTCTCATCAGACACACCGGACCTTCCATCCAATCCCAAATCCAAATGAGACTTTAAGACGATCTCTCCTTCCTTTCGCTCCTCCTCCTTAGGCGGAGGCTGTGGCGGCTTTTGTGTGGAGAGTGGCGCCGTCAGCAATGCGTGAAGCGGCGGCCTAGGCGGCGCTGTGATAGATCGCGGCGGCTGCGGCGGTGGCGATGGAGATGGCGTGAACGGCTTGGCCGGGATTACCTTCTTGTCGTCCTCATTGAGGAGCTTGGTCACGAACTCCGGGCTAAACGTGATCGCGAACTTGCGCTCTCCTTTCATCTCCAAAACCCTCTCTCGCAAACCCTAAAACCTCATGCCCTACATTTGTGGGAACTCTTTTTCTTCTCGTGAAGATCTAACATGAGCGTCAGCTTGATCGGTGCCTCCCTCGTGAGGCGCGCTCTGCGAATTCGCCAGCGCCAATTCTCGTCACTGGCGTCTGGAGCTGCGCAGCCAGAGAACGCTTCCTCGAGGTAGTAATCCTTGCATTGTGCTTGATCACTGAAGAACAATACCATGCTAGAATTTTCTTCTGATTTCGTAGAAACTCTTGAGAACGATGACAATTTTCTACGGAATCAACTTCTACTCTTGAAACAGGATTCTAGAGGAAGATGTGAAAAAATTCGAAGAAGATGGTGCTGTTGTCTTGCGGAAGGCCATCCCTTCGTCCTGGGTGGAACAACTTCGTGTTGCTGCTGACAATAACATGAAAAATCCAGGTAAGTTCTATGAAATTTTTCTTCTTCTTCTTCTTCTCTTTTTTTTTGGTTCTATCAAAGTTTTTGCTCATGGCTCTTGATCTTCAGGTCCTTTGTGCGACGAACATGTAAAGCCAGGAGAGGTTTGTACAATCTCACACTATGCAAGGCTTGACACTATTGCAGCCAGGACGTTTCCATGACGACCAATTTCTGTGGCTTCGTCACAACACAATGCGCTCGTTTATTTTTGAGTCTCCTGTTGGTGAAATAGCGAAGGGGATGATGAGGTTCTTCATTTTATTCGTGTTTCTTCTTGGCTTTTGGTTATAGTTTCTTCCTTTTTTGCCACAGGGGAAAGCTCGCGAGGCTCTTCTACGACCAGTTACTCGTGAAAGAACCTGGTACTCGGACCACCACACCTTGGCATAACGATCACTCGTATTGGCAGCTTTCCGGTGACCAAGTTATCTCCGTTTGGCTCGCTCTAGATCCTGTCCCAGAATCCTCCTGCGTCCAATACGTAAAAGGCTCTCACAAGTGGAGACTTCTTCACAGGTAACTTGAAAACAAAAATGAATCACTGTGTCACTGTTCTGTATCTATTTGCAGGATTGCTTCTTTCTCAGGTGATGAAGACCGCTACAAGAGCGACATGACAGATTCCTTACCAGACATTCCTAACATTGACGAGAAGCTTGACGAGGTAAAAAATACAAGGAAAATCTCTCATCGGTATTGGTCGTGTTCGCTCAATCTGAGATCCAACCATCGCAGCTCACGCTTCTTAAATGGGATATGGAGCCCGGAGACTGCCTCATACACCACAGCTTTGCTGTCCACGGTGCTCCAGGGATTGGAGAAGCCAGTGGAAGGCGACGGGGCTACGCCACTCGCTGGGTTGGCGAAAGCGTCAAGTTTGATCCCCGGCCCGGTAATAAATGATGCTGTTCTTCGTGCTTCTTCTTTACCGCTTTCAGTGACACTCTGCAGGTACGATGCACTACGTGTGGCTCAAAGCTGGAATAGATGCCGCGCTCCAGCCGGGTGAGTCTATGGATTCACATTTATTTCCACACGTCTGCTAGTTACTGTAAGTTTATCATCAAGTTTGTCAGAGGTTATTTGCGTGTGTTTGTGCGTTGATTCTTCCTTCTCTTGAGTTGTTTGCGATTCTCAGCTAGCAGATATGTTCACTTCGATGTAGCACGAATGTGTGATGATCTCTTCTGATTGTTTCACTATCGTAGCTGTTTGTACGTTTCATTTGCCGCAGCTCTTAGAGTACTGTCTCGATTTGTAGCACGTTGCTCTTTGTGGTTGTCACGTTCTACTATCACTGTCTATCTATCACTATCATTTATAGTTGTATTTACATGATCACACGATCACAAGTATATAATCGTTACTTTAAAAGCCATGATCTGTAGGAATAGAAGTATACCATGTTTCGTTATAAACTCTGAATATTTCATTCTGTATTCTCATTTCGGAGAATATAATTCATTCACCTCGGAGGGACGAGCAAGAAAAATGAAGGGCTTCCATTCGCTCTTGCTGCTGGTGGTCTCTCTCAGTTTTGCTGTTTCTTATGCAGCTCCAATAAAAGTGCTGGATTTCTACCTCCACGACAAGGTCGATCTAACCAATCCCAGCAATTCCACGGTGGTTTTAGTTGCAGGCCCCAAAAATCTCCAGTTTGGAGCGGTGCTTGTCATCGACGATGTTCTCACCAAGGGCCCTTCCCGTGACTCCGAGATTGTGGGGAGAGCCAAAGGGACGTATATCAGCGACGATTCCACCAACACCACAACCGGTTTGTTCTTGACATTTGTGGCTGTGTTCAAGGATGGGACGATGAGCATGTACGGCCAAGACAACATCTTCGATGAAGTCCGAGAGCTTGCAGTGATTGGAGGCACCGGAGCCTACAGATTTGCGTCGGGGTATGCGCAGATTAGGACCTACAAGATCATTCCGCCGCTTTCGGCAATCTTAAAGTTTCATGTGTTTTACAAGAACTGAGATGGGCGCCAAGATGGTCATTCAAATCAGATCAGAATAAAAGCTTGCTTTGGATCTTTTGGATTTTAATGATTATGTTGTTGGCGCTTCAGTTGCTTTGCTCAGTGTTCTAGCTGCTGCTCAGCATTGATCTGGCAGACTGCTGCTTCTGTTTTTTATCGTCTTAGTTGTCGCCGCCGTTTATGGTGGTGGCGGATCCTGCTAGTAGGTGGACAATAGAAATCAATTTTAAACATAATCGCCCCACACATGCTTAGAACAAAGCGTGGACGGCAGGATTCGGACCTGCGGGGGCAGAGGCCACATGATTTCTAGTCATGCCCAATAACCATCTGGCATGTTCACGTTATTGTGTGATTCAAGCTAAATGGTCTTCACAATAGTGATCATTACATTTTCGTTGTGACATAGAGAAACTAAGCAGAAGTCGACACATCTCTTCATATTTAATTTGGCACGTTTGTTAACTAGTATGTTTTAATTCCCAACTGGACTTGAACTGGGACCTCAAGGAGAAGAGCCTTGTCTTTAACCATAGAGCGATTTGACTGCTGAGTAGTCATAGTGGATCCACCTGAGTAGCTAAAACAGCCTTAGCTGCTCCTTAAACATGCAAAAGATCTAATCAAGTTCCTCTAGGTCTCCAAAATTTTTATGATAGAGATATACCAGGTATATTTTACCATCTAATTATAAACATGTTTTCAATTTATAAAACTTCTTAAACACATCTAAATATATTCTAGCATATTCAATTATCTTCTATACAGGTTTAATTAATTGGTCTCCATGGTTGAGATAATTGGTTGGAGTGCAGCCATACATTTGAACCTCACAATATAATTAATAAAATTATTTATTTATATACTTATATTTATTTTTTTATCAAATGAATGGCTTCAAATCTTAAACAGTTGTTGAGCTTGAGTATGATTTGGGGGATATGCCCAAATATACTTAAAGATGATTCCATGTGTTTGATGTAACACAATTTCAAGTGGCATTTTCAATAAAAAATAGAGTTTTTTTATTAGATTTTGAGTGTTGTAAATTCCATTGTAATATATTGCAACCACAATGGGATGCTTCACTTTTCAACTGAGGCACCATATAGAGTATGAATTATTGAGTTCCAGAGTAAAAATCAAAAGATCTATGATAATTTCAAGCTAAGTATCTCTTTAAACTTTTATTTAATCTAAATTTTTTTATATTTATCTAGATCTTTTATTTCTTCCTTTCAATTCCTTGATTTTTGGGTTAAATCAAGATTTTTGGCTTTTTTTTTTTCCATGAATCCTAAATTTGATTGATCACTATAACTTATGGACAAAGAAGCATGTTTAGCATAGTTGACATGCCAGAAATTGTAGATTGCTACCAAATAATTGTTGAAAAAAATGAGATTCCGTGATAAAAGTTAAGTTAGGGTTAGGGCAGCTACTGGCATTAGGGTTTACAAAATACCTAAATGCCACTATTTTAGATTTTAAAGCCATTTCCCTTTTCTGCCACTGTTGCCCATGATAGTGCAATAGGAAAAACTGGAAGCTAAAACTTTTGTATGGACCATCATCCCATGGTATTGTCTTTGTGACATTGCCATTGTTATATCTTGGTAACCCTAGTCATCCTCCAAATATCATTTTCCATCCTCACACATCCCATCCCATCCCATTCCCCCCCAACACATTTATGTACACCACCTTTTTCAATAATCTTTTCTTTTTAGAACTCTTTAGAGTCATTATTCCCTTCTCCATTACACTTTTATGACTCTAAAATCTCCATTTTAAAGCTTACATTCTCAATAACTGCATGGCTACCTTAGGGAGACCAAGGTGGTGGATTGCAATGTCATCACTTTTGTGTAATCAAATAGGGTCTTTTGAGTACTCCTATGTCAACTCATCTTCTCAAGCTACAACAAAGATCTCTAAGATTTTACAAATATTAAGGAGTTAAATATGGTGTGTAATTTGTAAATGAAGATTTCAAATAAAATTAAATGAGAACAAAAAAAGTCAAATAAAGTCATATTAATATAAACAAAGTCAAACAAGAACAAACAAATTGAAATCAAATCAAATGAGAACAAACGAAGACAAACTAAATAAAACAAAAACAAATGAAGATAAATATAGATATGTGATTGGCTAGAAAAATTGTTTAGTAATCCAGAATATTTGGCTACATCTTCATGGCTATGGAATGGGTGAGAATGGGCTATGAATGGGGCATTTATGGGCCATCAATGCCAACTCTAGCCACTTAGAGCCCAAACTTTGTTTCTTAAAACTATTTCATTTATAAACCAATAAATTCTATTGAAAACATTTTTCCACTTAAGTTTTGGTATGAGTGGTTGAGCTTTGCAAATTTTGTCTTGAGGCCACTGGCTCTCATCCAGTACTAAAATATGTTACAACTCTAAAATATGTTAGAGCTTTACAATGCACTATGTAAAACTGGAAGAGATCTGAATTCATAGAGGAGGTATTTGCTCCAGCTAGTGTAACGCAAGTTCTTATGCTAAGGTGGCAGCAATGAAGATGGCGTAAACGGCTTAGGGATCTTCTTCTCCTGTAATGCTTGCATTTTTCCCATTGGCTTGATGCTATTATTTTTCTTAAGAACAATACCATGCTAGTGGAGGAGAAGAGAGAACTCCGAAAATGTTCTGCTCTGCTTCCTTACAATATTCACAGACGAGCTCTTTTGTTTTTCTTCAGAACCAAGGCAGCACGAATAGCTTGTGCTATGATTCGGAAGAATATAAATCATTCACCTCGGTGGGACAAGCAAGAATAATGGAGGGCTTCCATTTGCTCTTGCTCCTCGCAGTCTCTCTCGCTTTTGCTTTTTCTTATGCAACTCCAATAAAAGTGCTGGAGTTCTACTTCCACGACAAGGTCGATCTAACCAATCCCAGCAATTCCACAGTGGTCTTCGTTGCAGGCCCAAAAAATGCCCAGTTTGGAGCGGTGTTTGTCATCGACGATGTTCTCACCAAGGGCCCTTCCCGTGACTCCGAGATTGTGGGGAGAGCCAAAGGGACGTACATCAGCGACGATTCCACCAACACCACAACCGGTTTGTTCTTAACATTTGTGGCTGTGCTCAAGGATGGGACGATGAGCATGCACGGCCAGGACAACATCTTCGATGAAGTCCGAGAGCTTGCAGTGATTGGAGGCACCGGAGCCTACAGATTTGCGTCGGGGTTTGCGCAGATGAGGACCTACAAGTTTATTCCACCGCTTTCGGCAATCGTAAGCTTTCAAGTGTTTTACAAGAGCTGAGCGGAAAATGCAATGTTATCAAGAAGAGTGCAGTTTTACAATGAAAAGGTATTAAAACTTATCTGGTTAGTATGTTCGCTAAGAAACTTAAAGGCTCCAAAGACACGAGGAGACGTGACCTGGACGTTCTTGCGATCAGTGGGAGGAGGAGCTCGGAAGATCGTGTCAAGATCGGTAATCTTTGGCCGGTAATCTTGTCTCTACTTCGTACTCCTCTTCGGCATAGTCGAATCCTGCCATCCACGCAGCAAACTAGTCAGTGGCGTGTGTGTGGTCTCTCTGTAGTTACAAAGAAAACATTGGCCAGGAACTCATCCGGTTACTAAGTGATATTCTAAGACACTTTTATCACCCCACCCAGCGCCAGTGGCCTTTGCAAGTAGTGGAAGAAGCTTTTCCTCCTAAAGCTCCAAGCCCGAAAGATCAAGTGGCTGGACATACAAAGAAAACTTTGGCCAGGAACTTGGCAGGAGCTCACCTGGTTACTAAGTGATATTCTAAGACACCTTTATCACCAGACTTTGCAAGTTGGTGGTCCTCCCTATAAACTCCAAGCCCTAAAGATAAGATCTGATGAAGAAGAACAAAGGGGATCCTGGGAGGGGATATCCAGAAAGGTGGTAGGGAATAGAAGCGTGCTGGAGCGGCGGCTGAACAGGCAAGATCTGGAGGTGAAGCCTTTCTTCCCCCAAACTGAGATGATAGAGTTCAGGACGCGGCATTAGAGGCATGGCAATGCACACCCGAGTGTAAGAAGAAGCTAGGCTATCTCCACACCAGCATTTCAACGGCCAGTTGCAAGCCACAACGCAATTAGAGGTGAGGATGTGCCAGCATTGGAGAAGCTTGGTATCTGAGAGCAAGTGTAGATCAGTTTGGCACCTGGTTTATGACCGTCTCGCTGCGGGGCTTCAGGAACATTGCCTTTGAACTGGCTAATGATGCTGATAGAATACTCAAGGAGCTGCACGATGCGTGTGCAAGAGGCCATCATGTTCATTGAGGTTTGTGCGTTACTGCTTCAAGGGGTCGAGGTCAGGAATGAGGACCCTGTTGGAAGCTGTTGATCGAGAGCACCACAACGCTCAACGAAGATGAAGATAAGCTTTTGGAGTTCTTGTCCTTGGAGTTAATCCATGTAAGCTGCAAGGAAGAACAAGATGCTGCCAACCCCCTTCTAGTTGTGTGTGTTGCAAGGTAGAAACAGAGATGTTTTCAATTAACAATGTGAGAATTTTTTGCTCAGTAAACTTTATAGTGTTCTGGTTACATCTTTATATAGCTAACTATGATGCTAAGCTGATGTGGAGATCAGCCTGAAGTTCTTGGTGAGTGCTATCGCAGACATATTATCACACCACAGCTTGACTGAGTGTGATATCACTCCCATGTCTTGGAGCAGCCTCTGGAGCCACGTAGCCTCCTTTGCAGCAGCAGCAGCACCCACATACTCCGCCTCTGTGCTTGGAGCTTGTTGAGCTCTCACCTCTGGAATATCGCAGAGATAAGTTTCTCAAGGACTTTCACTTCATTCAGGAATAGGTTAAAAAAGGTGCAATTCTCTTGGAGTTTGCCCAACAGCCTTGATGGTGGCTGATCAATTTCTCATATCAAGCATGAAATCTTCCAGAAGCAACTCCGGCTAGCTAACTACACTTTCCTTGAGGGGAGTGTGGGAAAACACAAGATCACCACGTCAGCGATCAGTTCCAGAAACGTACCGCATGATCCGCTTAGTCACTGCCCAGTGAGCTAGTGTTGGATGGTCCAGGTACTTTGCCGTACAGCCCACGGAGAAAGCAAGATCAGGTCGGCTTGAAACCACCAGGTAGATTAAACTCTGATAATGGATCGATCCAATTCTCCTCCTCGGGAGCTGGATCATCTGGAGTTGCTTTGGAAAGCTTGGTGCCAGCTTCCACAAGTGTAGCAACGGGGTTGGCATGAATCATAAAGTACCTCCCAAGGACATCAGTGATGTATTTGGCCTGAGAAAGTTCCAGAATCCCACGTTGTCTATGTTTGTGAACTTGGATGCGCAAGCAGTAGTGTAGCTACACTACACTTGCTACACTTGTGGAAGCTGGCACCAAGCTTTACAAAGCAACTCCAGATGATCCAGCTCCCGAAGAGGAGAATTGGTGGCTCTATCGATCCATTATCAGAGCTTAATCTACCTGGTGGTTTCAAGCCGACCTGATCTTGCTTTCTCCGTGGGCTGTACGGCAAAGTACCTGGACCATCCAACACTAGCTCACTGGGCAGCTAGCTCACTGGGCAGTGACTAAGCTTGCCAAGATCAGTCATCTCAAACCGTGAGAAGAGAGACTTCTTGATCTGGTTGAGAAGACAAAGCTGGTTGGAGGCAAGTATGGTATCATCTACATAGAAAGCCAGGAAGAGAAAGCCACGGCCCTGCTTGTATATGTATAGATTTGTGTCTACCGAAGCCAAGCGAACTTAGATAAGAATTAATTTTGTTCTACCACATGCGGGAGGCAGTATAGAGCTTTATTTAGCTGACATACTAGATGCTCTTGGCCAGCGCGCACAAAACCGGGAGGTTGAGCTATGTAGACCTCTTCATGGAGGTTGCCATTGAGGAATGCATTTCTCACGTTGAGCTGATGAAGCTCCAGGTCGAGCTCTATAGCCAGGGTTAAGAGCAAATAAATGGTAGTGAGTTATACCGTTGGGTTGTATGTTTTGGTAAAGTGAACTTGAGAGAAACCGCAAGCTACAAAATATACTTTGTAACGTTCCACTGTGCTATCAGCTTTGTACTGCATTTAAACAGCCACTTGGCTGAAACGGGCCTGGAGGAAGAGGGACCAGTGTCCAGGTCTGATTCTTCTGGAGTGACTCATACTCCTCTTGCATTGCCTATTGCCAAACTTCTGCCCCAAAATTATTGAGTGCAGCATTAAAGCTGTCAGGTTCAAGCACAGCATGCATGGCCCAGTAGAAAGGACCACGACGAGTAGTGCAAGTTGGAGCCATGGCTTTTGCTTCCTAAGCTTTGGTAGAGAGCTTGATTCTTCGTCAGAGTGTGTTATAGTTCACTAGTTACTAACTAGAGGAGGTGAAGTGGTCATCATCACGTGTGGTGGAGGAAGAACCTCATCACCTTCCATGATGCTCTCCACAAGAGTATGGATGGTTTGATCTTCAGTCTCCTGGGCAACAGAAGGGCCAGAAAGAGTAAGTGACAAAGAGGCACTGTCAAAGCTGTATGGAAGTACCAAGAATGGGAAGTGCTACTCCTCTTGGAGGTATGGCAGCTCTCTATGGATTGATAGGGACTCCTCCTTGATTGCTAGGCACTCCTCCTTGAGCCAGAGAAATGGGCAGCACGAGGGGCTCAGGAATGTTGTCTAGGATAAGTGAAAGATCCACCATCTAGTCAAAGTTCGTGGAGATAGACAAATACTATATCGTGGCTTGTTACGTTAAAGTTGTAATGCCTGTAGGCCTTCATCTGATCATAGGAAGAAACATTTCTCACTCTTGGGATCGAGTTTTTTCCTGTGCGCGTTAGGAATGTGGGCATACGCCACACACCCAAAAATGCGTAGATGACCTAATTTGGATACAGTGCTTCTCCCCAGAATGCGTAAGGACGTCCAGAGTGCTGAAACATACAGTGTGTGCTCTCCAGAAGAGTTCTGTTGGCACGCTTAGCAACGCGGGCGCCAGTACGGACGTTTGGTTGGTTGACCTTTCCCTTTTACCCCTGCCATTTTGCCAAGGGCTATAAGCAGTAAAGTATTGGCCTTGGAATTCATTGGAGATGAATTCCCCTCCACTATCTGTGCGATATACCTTGACCTTCCTGGCAGTCTATGCCCAGGTCTTATAGGCTTTGATGCTATGCCAATAGAAAGAATTGTTTGATCAGCTCCTGGAACATGGAACATCCTCTCGAGGTGTCTGCGTGAGCCATTAGGAAGCTTGATGACCACTGTTCCATGCCCAGCGACTGTGAGGCCTCTTTTGTCCCCCACGTACACCTGTTTCAAGGTCTCCAACGCTGTGGAAGTGTGGAAGAGGTGTGATGTGCATTGAAGCCCCTGAATCCATCCAGAGAGTGATTCCTGGGATGAGCAGACGGTCATCATCAACAGAGGATCAGGTTGCGATGTCCCATCTTGCCGCAGTTCCTAGTAGTGTTTGCCCCAGATTGAGAAGAAGAGGTGTTGGGCTTCTGCAAGAATGCCTCTTTCTTCTTGTCTCCAGAGGGCTTGCTACCGATGTACAAGGCCTGCTCACGAGCATCCCGAGAGGCCTGACTACGTTCCTTCATCTTGCGCTCTTCTTCCAGCAAACAGTCCCAAGTGTTTGACCCGGAATGAATGAGAGCATGGACGAGAACTGCTGTAGCTCTGGGGTGATAGAGCAGAGAATCAGCGCCTTGGCTTGTTCTTCAGAGACGGGCGGCCCAGCCTCTTTGAGTTCAGCCATGAGACCACGAAGCTTGCCGATGTAGGTCGCAATAGCGTCTTTTGGATCTATGCACATGTTCAGGAATTTCTGGGTAAGCGTCACTTCAGCATTCTCAGCCCTGGCCGAGAAAACAGCAAGAAGAGCATCCCGGTTTGCGTGTGCATCCTTTGCGAGATCAAGCAAGTGTATGTACTCATCGCCCAATCTAAGTCCAACCACAAATAGCGCCTTGCAATTGCGACTCTCCCATGCCGGTTGAAGTGCGAGGTCCATAGGTTTACGCTCTGTTCCGTCCACGATACAGCAGTCCTTAGCAAGGAGGATAAGTTGGACTTTGGTACGCCATGTCGCAAAGTTTGTCCCCATGAATTTGTTAAGCATCTTCGCCCAACCGTCCCAGTTTCCAGGAGACGAGCCTGAATTTGCAGGAGGTGGAGGAGGAGGTGGATTAGAGGAAGACCCAGCCATTGTTAAAATCTAGAAAAAATCTAGTAACAAGGTGGTGGTGGAGACTGGTCTATGGTCTGGCGCATCGGATTGGCCATTGGATCATTTCAACTCGATATCATGTAAGAATTTTCTGCTCAATTAATTTCATAACGTATCGAAAGTGTGCTTCGTCCTGGGTGGAGCAACCTCGCGTTGACAATAACATGAAAAATCCAGGTAAGTTCTTTAGTGTCCTTTGTGAGACCAGTTCTAAGGCATCATCTCCCTTTTTTGTCGACCTTGACCCTCTCGCACACCCTAAAACTTTATTTTCGCGCTCTACAAATTCGCCAGCATTGCAGCTAGAGATCACTTCCTCGAGGAATCCTGCATTTTCGAAGGAATTTATTCTCCTATGGAGGTCAGCTTAGAATTCTGGAGCTCTAATTCAAGTGTTGCGACATAGCGAAGCGGATGATGATGTGTTTTTTTTATCCGTGTTTCTTCTCGTTTTCGTTCCATATAACACAGGGGAAAGCTGGCGGGGCTCTTCTACGACCAGTTCTCGTGAAAGAACCTGGTACTCAGCAACCAGACCTTGGCATAACGATCACTCGTATTGGCAGCTTTCCGGTGACCAAGTTATCTCCGTTTAATTGCAAACAGATACACAAGTGGAAACTTCTTCACAGTAACGTCAAAAAGAAAAGTGGAATACACTAATGACTGCGTGTCACTGTTCTGTATCTATTTGCCGGATTGCTTCTTTCTCAAGATGACTACAAGAGCGACATGACAGCTTCCTTTGACGAGGTCAGAACTAGAAGGGATCTCATCGGTTTGTTGAGGTCCAACCATCGCAGCTCACGCTTCTTAAATGGGATATGGAGCCCGAAGGCCTCATTTGCTGTCCACGGTGCTCTAGGGATTGGAGAAGACAGTAAAAAGCGACGGGGCTTCGTTGCGTTGGCGAAAGAGTCAAGTTTGATCCCCGGCCCGGGAATAAATGTCATGTTTCCAGAGCGTGTGCTTCGTGCTCCTTCCTTACCACTTTTAGTGACACTTGCAGGTACAATACTACGTGTGCTTAAAGCCGGATAGATGCCGCGCTCCTACCGGGTGAGTCTAAGGATTCACATTTATTTCCACAGGTTTGCTAAGTAAAAAGTTTACCTTCTTTCGGAGATAAACTTCCTGAATCCAGATATCATTTACTTGCCTCGATTTTGCGGCAGTGGTCAACGTTCGTCCAGCAGCTCTCATCAACCACCTTGTCCTCGGGACGATCCGGGTCAACCATGACCGCTGCGCCGGAGGAGGTCATCACCACTCCCTTGATCTTCTCCTCGCTGCAAGCACGGATCAAATTCTCCGTTCCAGTGATTGCTGGGACCAACACATCCTGGCAGAAAAAAAAACTCAGAAAATTTCTCATCGCCCACGAGCAAAACCAGCTAGATTCTTACATCTGGGGTGTCAAACTTCCAGAAGAAGGGGCAGGCTGTGTGGAAGACGGCCTCACAGCCCCGGACTGCCGGGACAATGGCTTCCACACAATGTACTTGTCAAAGGTCTCGCATATGTTAGACTGATCACTTAATACCAGATAAGAGCGAGCTCCAGTCATCCAAGTTTTCCCTGTGACCACAAAATGAAAGTGCTACACCAAGAGACCTGCAAGCGGCCACATTTGTACACAAAGCCTACGATGGCAAAACATATTCGTACTACTTGTAGAGGATTCAAGTTCAGGTAAGGCAACACAGCAACACATAAACAGACGATTGAAGCGTCTTTTTTCCTAAACCATTGTTTTGTCAAGTTTTGATTGAGCAGTTGCGAAACGAAAACTATACCTCGTGCTTTATTGCGTCTCCTTTCTACCAAGGTGCAGGCTGTCCGCGAGAAGCACGAACTCTACAAAAGAAAAACAAAGAACAAAAACGGACAAAAAAGATGGAATGGAAATACTCAGGTATCTTGCACTTATCAATCCAAAACCGATCTTATAGCTCTCAAACTTTGCAGTGAATCAAGCTTCTGAGAAAAGAAATGCTGGTAGTGACGCTCAAGTGGCAGCATTAGAGAAGACTCGATCGAGCAAAGTGCTGCATTGCATCGTTGGTGATGCGGAAATGAGGAGAAAGATCTGAGAGATGCAATTCCTCTGTACTCTCCAGATAGAGATGGAGGGCACGGCTAAGTTGTCTCCTTTCGTTTCTATTTTGTTCTTCTTTTCTACAGAAACTCTCTTTACTTTCTTTGTCATTGTCAATTGGGAGTGGACGGAGTGACCCATCTCCAAAGCTTTCCAGAGATTAAATCTAATCACGACGTGGACCGGCTAAACAATTCGTATATCAATTATAATAAACTCATGGGCTTAGGACAACTTACTATAAAACCACTATATTCTCTTTAAATATGTACTTTTTCATAGTGTGTTAGTTTTACATAGGAAAAATGAAAGAAAGATTGGCTGGGGATCATCCTAGATGAAAAACTTCATATTTTCTGGCAAAACATATCATGAATGGCAAGATTCAAACCTATGGGGATGTGCAGAGGAGTCATAGCTGCAAGTAACATTGAGCCTTCATATTCAAAGAGTACTTATTTAACCTTTATGAGACATTAGAGAATGTATATATATATAACATGTGTAGATAAAGCCCACATTTTTAGTCATGTTTTGTATGATTCAAGATACAATCAGATTTTCATTGTGATATGGAAACAACCATTATCACATTTTCATGATATAGAGAAAAACCAACCTCCTAGTCCCAAAAGTCTACCTTTTTGTCCCCTAAGATAGGTTTGCTAGAGTAGAGTGACAATGACAAGCTTATTACTGAACCAAGTTGTCAAAGATTACATCAATCTTGACCTTACTTCCTTTGACTTGTTTGTGCTGCTCAGCTGATCACACAACTTTGAGATCTATTCACGATAAGTACTATGAATGTTTGAGCTTTGCAAGTTTGTCTCTTGCGTTTTGTTTCTTCAAGTACTTTCTCAGCACTTAAAAGCTCTCTGTGGTTCCAGAGAAAACTTTGGTGGAGACTGGAGCTGGCTCTCATCGGATACTAAGTGACAACTCTAAGCAAACACTAGACCTTTCTTGACAGGTACAATGCACTACGTGTGGCCCAAAACCGGAAAAGATCTGGAAGGAAGTGCTTTCTCTGCTAGTGTCAGGCAAGTTCTTGTGCTATCAGCCATGCCGTACTTTAATGCTCACAAATCGAGAGAGCTTGGATGAATTCGCAATGCTCTTTTTTCTTGGTTATAATTTAAGCTCTTGAATTGTACGATGGTTGATTCATCTCCTGATGACTTTATTCTTCTAACCATTTGCTCAATGGTTCATTTTCATTCGTGCAGCGAGTAATTTAGATTTGGACTAATTCGATTGGAGCAGTGGTGTGAGCGAGTTTAGATCTGGACTAAAACTATGATTCGTGCTATAAAGAATTGGTTACGCTTTTTTTTAATACCAAGTTGCAGGTTGTCCGTGAGGAGCACGAACTTTTTGTCAGTGGTACTTAAAAATTGGCTGTCACAGTTTTTACTTGATCCCTAGCTGCTGGTCAGAAGAAGCGATGAATCTCTACAAGTTTACAAAGGGGACAAAAAGAAGGCATGGAAAAACTCAGGTACCTTTCAATCTTATAGTTATACCTATCAATCCCAAACCGATCTTATAGCTCTTAAATTTTGCAGGGGATCAAAATCAAGCTTTTAAGCTCTTTCAACATATAGAAGCAAGAAGAAAAAATAATGAAAGAAGAGCTTTCGCAATGCTGATAGTGACGCTCAAGTGGCAGCATTAGCGAAAACTGGATCGAGCAAAGTGCTGCATTGCATCTTTGGTGATATCGAAATGAGGACGAAGATCTGCGAGGTGCAATTCCACTGTACCCTCCAAGGAGAGAGATCCCATCCAAATGTTCTTTCTTTCCTCTAAAAACCCTCTTTTAACTTTCTCCTTTGTCCTTGTCAGTGGACAGAGTGACCCCATCTCCAAAGCTTTCCAGAGATTAAATTTAATCACCCCCGACGTGGACCGGCTAAACAATGCTTAAATCAATTGTATTTAAATTCCGGGTTTCGGACAGACCATTATAAATAAGATAAACATTTCATTAAGATAATAACTATTAAACAAATCTAGTGATACTTTTTGCCCTTTCAGGCGCATGGATGACTAAGTATAGGCCTAGGCATGTACTTTTTTTAAGGAAAGAGTAAATTTATCTCTTTGTTTGATAGTGTGTTAATTTAGTAAAGGTTGGAAGTGGTAAATTTCTTTTTCTTTTCCGTTTTTTACGACCCAGTGCTCTACAGCGAATGAGCTCAATCATTGTTTATATGAGAAAACAATGCAAGGGAAGAAGCGAAAAAGGAAAACTGGGAGAAGAAGACGAAGAATTGGTGGGAGATTTCTCTTTTTTTTTTACTGTTTTTTTTCCTCTCTTTTGCTCCTCTCTTTTGCTCGAATCTTCGCTGGGGAGGCGAGCGGGCGCCATGGATTGAGCGCCCAAATGATCGAAGCGGCGGCCTTGATGGCGAGAGCGTCTTGATCGAAGCTTTCCTGGCTTTTGGGTTGGATGGTGTTCTTGCGTTTCAGTTTTCTGGGGTTTTTGGCTGTGGCGGACAAGGCAACGAAGAAGAAGAAGAATGCTTATCAGTGCTGCCACTGCTGCTG